TCATTTTAGTCAAAAATTGTAGGCCTCACATGGAAAATTAATGTCTATCAATTGAAAATTAATAGAGATTGTTGGATGCTTCATTTTTTGAAGTTAAGAATTTATTTCTCACTACTTTATAGTATATGCTACCTAGTGCTCCTAAAAAAATATTTGAGTGCCAAATTTGCACCTTTTGACCTAGTATCAATATCTTTTCCTCATTGGCCATCAAAAGATTATATCCCAATGTTTCATGACTACTAAAAATGTAATATTATTTTTTATTATATCCAAAACTCATTTTTTAAAAGAAAAATTTAATCTTTGACTTTAAAAGTAAATCAAAAAATGATATTAGTAATAAAAAAATTAATATCACATTTTTTAACAAAATTTATTTCTTTAAAAATTTTGGCTTTAAAGTATCAACTCATAATCTAGAAGTATTAGATATATATTGAAAATTAAAATTTTTTAAATTAAAAAAAATTATTTCAATTTAAAGTGTCAGTGTTTCATGGATTCACAATAAACAAACTTTGAATAAATACAATTTTGGGGGGGCCAAAATAAGCTTTTAAAATTAATAAATTTCAAATTCTATGGCTGCCTTTAAATATTCGAAATAGCTTCATGCAAAGCAACGAGGGAGAGAAACACACGCACGCACGCACGCACGCACGCACAGTGTAAGCCCAATTTTTATGGACTTCCTGTTGGAAGTGAACGTAATTATACAGAATTATTGACCCAGATAAAGCCAAGCATTGTTGGGCCAATTGGAAATAACTTTTTTATTTAAAAAATCTGTATTTGCATTAACTTAAATTTAATGTCTTATACTTAAGCACTCATAACCAACCATTTTCATTAAGATTAAAAAAAATGAGAATCTTCATGAAAAAACCAAAAAAATATTGGACTTGCATAATGCGTTTCAGTAAGGAATCGTAAATGTTTGAAGGGTCAGATTTCTTGGTTCAACACTTGTGAATAGTGGCCCATACTCCGGTCCAAATAGCTTGGATATTCATATAAGTTTGTGGCTGTAATATAAAAACATAGTTAATATTAACCAAAATTATGTTTTCTTATTAACTTTATATATATAGATTATAGATTATTTGACATTAATTTCTACATTCTAAAAGATGTTTATTATTACAAGAAATTGCATTTTCAACTTTTTTTTATAATTTTTTTGGGTTAGGTTAAAACTTATAAGCTAAGTCTTATCATATTCTTGACATACAATTCACTTAGATGTAAGAACCTGAAGGAAGTTTGGTGACCGAAAAACTTATTTGTCTCTTTTCTTTTAACCACCTAGCCGTTACCGTTTTTGCTTTGAATATGTGCACAACTCAGACATTGAGGTACTGTTGGAGAATTCAGGAAGATTTTGTTATAACATTAACATGCATAAGATAATAAAGTTTGTGTTTGGTGCATGTGAAAACATTGGAAATGAAATGGACTCTAAAATTGAGTTCTATGAATTTATGTGAAGTTTACAATTTAAAGAACAAAAGAGAAAATTTTATATTTTATAAGAAATAATAAAATGAAAAAAATACTAGAAAAAGAAAACTTCGCTAAGATTCATAGATATATTTTAAAGGATTTAAATTCCGGAGAAATAAAAATACAACATCCATGTTTGGTGGCAGGTCTCTCTAAGATTCTGAATCCTACTCCAAATCTAAATATAACTGAAAAAAAATTGTTAATCATTCTATTATGAATGAAAAAAAGACTATTTTATCCTTGATGGATCAATCATGTATGTGAAAATGAGGGATAATTTAATCTTTTTCATTTTAATGCATTGCCAATATTTTTATTTGTCAAAATATTTAAAATTAGATTAGTTATTAAATTGGTTAAAACATTGGTTTAATAGTTAATAATAAACATAGTAGTTAAAATTATAATATCATAAACAAATCATTTTATTAAATTAATTAAGATACTAATTCAACAATTTAATAGTTCAATCGATCGGTTAACATGGTTATGTTTTTCTTATCACACCAAATATAACTCAATATAATATTTTGTTTCTTTTTCTGTGCCTATTGAACTTTTTTTTTTTTCAATACCCAACTCCAACCCATTCTCATCTTCATTCAATTAAAATCTTCTTTCCTTTGAGATTATACTTAGATCTTAAACCCAAATATTTATATCTGGATATTTATCCATTTTCCCTAGATTTACAATAAATCAATTAATTGCTTTGTTTAAAATATAACAAGCTACCAATGACCATATAATTTAATTGATAGAAAGTTGTGTTAGACTCAGTGAATTTCGGTCTCCCCAAAAGTCTATTTGCAAGAAACAATTATTTGTTGGATTTGACAAAAGTACATTTTAAATATAAATCAAATAATTTTTTAGAGTAAAATAAACACTCTATTAATTAATAGAAAGTTGTGTCGGTTGCTTTTATGATATTTTTTTCTTACTTACATTTGAATTATTTGGAAATCAATATAATTTTATATTCATGTGGTTTGATAAACAAAACATAACAAATGAAATTAAAATAATTCCAGATGTGTATGCATGTGTATGAGCCAAAATATCCATTAGATTAACGGCACGCGCTCCACCTTGCGCTTGCTCTAATTTTTTAGATTAAGTTTTCTCGTACAGACACCTGCGTGTGGCACGCGCAGTAACTTGCAATCTTATTATTCCTCATCTCTCACTTCAATTTCAGAGTTTGGTGATTTGGTCTCTACAATTAATTATCTAAACCGCTCTTACCTAAATTTGCTATGTTTTCCTTGCTATCATTAATGTTTTTCTTATCTTCAACTAATAATACTCAATTTTGATTTCTTTTAATTACATAAATATAACACTTTTAGATTTATCTTACTTGATATTCATTCCGTCTTTATATATAAAATGTTTTTAATCAAAACACACATAAATTAAAAAAAATTAATTATTTAATTAAAAGTACACTAATATTTTAATTTTATTTCTAATTATTATATATAAAAATGAATCTTTTTTTAAATAAATTAATGAAAAAATTTATTTTTTTAATTTAATAAGTGTATAATAATTTATTCATTAAAAAAATATGTTAATAATTTATTATATTTAAAATAAAAAATTTAAAAATCTTTTACATACAGAGACGAAAGGAGTAAACTGTCATTTTTGTTTAAGTGTTATTTTTTATAAGTGAATAATCTCTTAATGAAACGTCCCATTGCTTTGTCATTATTGATGAAACTTCACTTTCAACAATTCTTCAGGTCAACGTTAACTTGTCAACCAGCTGATTTGGTGACGGGGGTTCCACTTTTAACAATACGGCCGGACATAGCCCTTGACAAATTTAAATGTGAAAATAATTTTATAAAGTTTAAGGGAAAAGGAAGAATTAATCTTTGAAAGATTATATTTTTAGAATCAAGTTAAAAAAATAATTTTAGAATGTTAAATGGTTGATTTATTTTATTTAAGGTCGCATAGAAGTTTAATTAATGAATTAATTATAATTTTATTTAGTGCTAGAATAATTTGATAATTCTTATTCATGTTACTTTTGTTTAGAGATATGCATTCTTTTATTAAAAGTAATTGTGTTTAAGCAATAGCCAGACACTAAATGTATATATCCAGAGATCAGCATCTTCACAAGGGATTTTTTCATACTAATCTCCGATCAAGAGTGGATTGTTTTCTTAATTTTTGTATTGAGAATCTAGGATGTAAATTTTGTAGTTAAACAAGATCATGCGATCGCTCCCTTTTTGTAATTTTTGATCAATCTCCTGCTTTTCCTAAAAAAGTGATGATGATGGAAGACGATCACTTTCTCATTGTTTTCCTATTTTGTGATTGTTGTACTTTTTTTTTTTGGTCAAGTTGTTGGTTGCATTTGACATCATATGATTATTAGATAGGATAATGACAATAAAATTTCTTGAATTATATAAATGATAAGTTAATCATTTAAAATATCACAATTCTATTGAAATCCTTAAAGGCCTCTTTATTAACAAATTTTAAATTAAATAGATTATTTTATTTTTATTGACAAGTTATGATTTTTTGTTCAGTTCTTGTGATTTTTTAAATAAAAGTTGTGATTCTTGAAAAAAAAATTGTGAATGGGGTTTGTTATTTTGAGAATTTATTTTTTAATAATAAAAATTATATTTAATAAATTATAATTTCTTGTTCAACTCTTGCAAATCACAAAACAAAAATTGTTATTTCTTAAGTAAAAGTTGGAATTGAGGCTTATTATTTTTAATAAAAGTAAAATAATTTTTTCATTTTAAAATTTATTGACACAGAAATCTCTAAAAACTTCATTAAAATTATAGTATTTTGAGGGATCGATTGTCATTTATATAATTTAAAAAGATTTCAATGTCATTTTTAATATTTCAATTTTCATTATATTTTTGATTAGTCAAATTATGAAATATTAGTCTTTTTACTGAAATCAAATCCAGGTTGATTAATTATTCCCTTTTAATTGTTGAGAGAACCATTCTACTTCATCACATTAATGTACAAGAAAGTTTATCTATCTTTACCAAAAGAAAATTTAATAATAATAATAATAATAATAATAATAATAATAATTAGTTTTAAATAAGGGTAAATGAATAAATTATTTCTTTAATTTTAAAAGCACTAGTGTCATGGATTCAAAAAATTACAAAAAATGACCAATCCTTATTTGTATTTTTGAATCTTTTATTATAATTTTTTATTTTTTATGATTTTTAAGATCTTTTTTTTAATAAATTAACTGTTAAAATTAATATTTGTTAATAACATAAGACAGATTTTTTTAGAAATTGAGACAATAATTTATGCAGTAAATGAATTTGGATCTATAATCTCATTAGAATTAAAATTCTGGGGCTAATTGCCAAGTTCCCTCAATTACTCTAATAAAAATAATAAAAAAAGTGAACAATCTCCCTGTTAAAAAAAAAAAAAAAAGTGAACAATCTCACTGCATGCCAAAATGGTTCCGCGAGAACGCTCTGAACAACGTTAACGATGAGCGGAGTCACCAGCAGCAGCAGTGAAGTCCTCCTCATCACTTCGGCTATATAAGAAATTAAGAACACTCAAACTTCTACAGTCAACTTCGCTCCCTTCAATTGCTTTGGCCTTTCTGATTCAGATCCCTCACAATCGTTCCCATCTCTTCCTCTTCTTCTTCTTCCTCCTCCCCCTCCTTTTCTGCCGTTTTCTCAGCCATTTCATATTCCCGGCAAAAACACACCGATTCCTCCCATCTGGATTTTTCATTTTAAAGCTACAGTGCGTATCTATATCTGTATCGCTTGAATTTTACTGGATTTTTCTTGGAGATGGGAATGGCGGGCGAGTCGCAGAATTGGGTGCTAATGGTCACTGCCCAGACTCCAACCAACATTGCTGTCATCAAGTATTGGGGAAAGAGAGATGAAACCCTAATCTTGCCTGTCAATGACAGTATCAGTGTTACACTTGACCCCAATCATCTCTGCACTACTACTACTGTTGCTGTCAGTCCCAGCTTCCTGCAAGATCGTATGTGGCTCAATGGCAAGGTAAAATTGGACTTCTGCTTTTATTATATTTGCTGCGTTTCTGCGCTCTTTTCTTTTACTCACTTCCATAAGTTCAGACGGAGGAGAAGCTTGAATACTATGAATGGGATTTTCATCTACTGGGCCGGAGGGAACGAAGAACTTCCCCGCCTTAAGCTAATTTTTGGTTGCATAGAGCTAAGCATATTATAATCATATAGGGATCGGACTAGATCAGGCTGGTTGTCGTAAGAAACTTTCACTGTCCCTCCTCTTATGCTGAGAGGATAACTTAAATCCCGAACACCGTGCTGCTTCGGTGCCACTGTCACAGTTAAAATATATTTTTTATACTGTTCAAATGGATTTTTACTGATCGATTAACTTAGTAATCATACATGATGGGCTGCAACTTCGAGTAAAGCGTGCTTTTAAGCATTGATAAGTACGTAGCTTTTGGATACAATGGATGTGATGCAAAGGCATGCTGTAAAAGCATTTATTCTGTTCATTTCGGTGGCACTGGCAAATTGAATACAACATCAACTTTCCCCCCCCCCCCGGGCCCTAAAAAAAAAAAAAAAAACCTAGAATGTTGGTCCTATTCCAGCTGGTAAGCATCTTTATTTTGTTATGGATGCAGATCCTCATTTTTTTCCCTCCCCATCAAAGGAGACTCTTTTTTTGGGTCTAAATATCATATTTAATTCTATATACAACTAAGAAAATGGGAAATGATTGTCACTTGAGGCAGTTGTAGTACAATTGTGACGAATAACCATTATCCTCGTATCAGTATAGTGGACATTTACCGATATTCTCCACTTCGATGTCACTTCCATACTCCTGAAAAGTCTAAGTCAATGGGAACTGCTTATTTCAATTTCTTTGCCCTGCACTATCTCTTTTAATGAGAATTAAAAGGTCATTGAATTTTATCTAGAATTATAAGAAGAGAAAAGGGAGACTTTTTGGTGCGCAAGAATCTGGTATATAGAACTATAATTAAGTATTGAATCAACTTCTTTTCTCCCCCTTCAATATTTATTTGGTTGATTCATGGCTTTTGGTTTTACACTTTTACTGGTTAGTGTAGGAGATTTCTCTTTCTGGAGGCAGGTACCAGAACTGTTTAAGGGAGATCCGCAGTCGTGCTTGTGATGTTGAGGATAAGAAAAAGGGTGTTAAGATCCTGAAAGAGGACTGGGGCAAATTGCATTTACACATTGCTTCATACAACAACTTCCCTACTGCAGCTGGACTGGCCTCTTCTGCTGCTGGCTTTGCCTGTCTTGGTAAACTCATTCTCTTTATTTTATTTTTTAAATATGAATTGGCTTTCTTTCATGCAAAAGTTGTGGCAGTAAAGTGGCTTTCATTAGTGGCTTTGGCTTGTATACAGAAATGTCTTCATTCAGGTTCCAGATTCAAACAAGATCTCATTCAACCTTGTACAGAGTGTTTCACAAGTTGCATGGATCAATCCATTGAATCGTATTTGAATTGTTGGATTTGTTTAGTAGTATAAATATGATCTAAACAAGTCATAATGTTCATTGTGGAAATTTTGATTAAGATGTTCAAAATTCAAAACATTTTTGAACATATGAGCGTGCCTCTTGACCAGAAAAACCATAAGGTCTCATAAACCGCACACGGCCACAAAGTTTTGTTATCATTAATCTTTCCAAATCCTACAAAGTGAATTTGGGGAGACTGAACTAAAGAACTAGCACACTCTTGAGTTTTCTCCGCAAATTCCAAAATGCTTATTCCAAAGGTCATTTACTGCTTGCTGATGAAGGAATAAGTGGGTAAATCTTCTGACTTGAATCCTCACGGGTATGTTGTGGGAAGAGCCATATGGAGGAATCAAATCTGCAACATGTCATTAGTTTTCATCCAATTAAAAATTGTGGTCCAAAGAAGGAATTTTACCTTAGAAGGAGCTTCGGAATTCTGAATGGGCTTATTGTCTTGTCATTAGGGTTGACCATTTTGACATGATTGTTAAATAGATAGAGTTAGGGCTGAACTATATGTTTTGTAAGTAACTCTAACTTGATTTGAATGATTGATCTAACTATACAAATTGCCACTGTGAGCAAATGATCTTGGTGCATTAGTATTAGACTAAATATTTATCATGGGATGTCATAGTGATGCAAATGCCTTATTCTATGCAGTTTTTGCACTTGCAAAGCTTATGAATCTCAAAGAAGATCAAAGCCAGCTATCTGCTATTGCAAGGTCTTTCTTGTGTCAACGATTTTAGATTTGCAAGTTATTAGAAACATTGTCGGAAAATCTAGCATTTAGATAAATATTTAATTGCAGTTTGGGAAATTGTTGTTGCATGTAGGCAAGGCTCAGGTAGTGCATGCCGCAGCTTATATGGTGGATTTGTCAAGTGGATAATGGGAAAAGTAAGCTTTTTTTTCTCCTTTATGATCGCTGCAGGTTTTTTTTTTTTTTTTTTTAAAATATAATATGGACCGTCATTTGACGACTCAATTTGTGATTCTTATTCTTTTAACATTTGAAGGAGGAGAATGGAAGTGATAGTCTTGCAGTTCAACTTACTGATGAAAAGCACTGGGATGATATTATTATCGTTATTGCTGTGGTATGTGCCTATTTTATTTTTCATCTTATATATATATATAAAAGCACAATATGGTGGCACTATTCATTCTGCAGTGAAATGAACAGCGCCTACAACAGTAAATGCCCATTTTTAACCTTTTCTGTGGGTCCCACTGTTCTTTAAATGAAATACTTCCATTTTTATCTTTTATATCAAAGCAAAATTCAATTTTAATACTTCTGTGGCTCCTTTTTTTATATTTACACGACACTTTCTAATTTTCCTAACTAGTATCAATTTAAAATTATAATGTCAAATGCTAATTTTTTAAATTAAAAAATAGGGTAAAAGAGCAAATTGGTCTTTAAACTATTGGTCCAAGAGCGTTTAGGATTATAAACTCATTTTTGGTGCACTGTTTTTTTAAACTTTTGAAAATAGTGCAATCTAACTCCTATCATTAACAAAAGTTAATTTTGACTGTTAGTTGATCAGAAAATGACAAAAAAAAGACCTTCAAGATTACAAAAAGGATAAAAAAGTATAGTAAAGGACTCAAAAATTACAGACAAGAACCCAAAAAATCTAGAAAAAAATCAAGAAAATTTTATTGGTCATTTTTTGTAATTTTCGAGGTCTTTTTTTATCATTTTTAGTCAACTAACACTCAAATTTAACTTTTGTTGATGGTAGGGCCTAGATTGCACTGCTTGCAAAAGTTGAAGAAAAATATTGCTTAAAAAATGAGTTTAGGGTTCTTGATGCTCTTGGACCCTATAGTTTAGAGGCCAATTTGTTTTTTTACCCTTGAAAATAAGTTACTTGATATATAATATATTAAAGTAAATGATAATAATAAAAGATATAAAAGTAATTAAAATAAAGAGAATTTGATTTTTAAATATGGGTACTTCTATCATCTAAACCTTGATATGCATGGGTAATATAAAACTAAAATGTTATATGTGTGTTATTTTCTAAATTATTATTCTCTCCATTCTAAATATTTTATAAAGGTATTTATGAAAATATAATTGCTTTGTCCATCTCCAAAATCATAGGTTATAATTCCTTTTTGGAGGGGCAATTGAAACTTTTTAGAAGGGGCAAATGAAATTTTTAGGGCCACTATTTGTAATTTCCTCTTGCCTTGTGGGGGCATTTGCCCATGATATAACTCATAGGTCCATCTTTGATATCGTTTAAGATTTTAATATTGAGCTATTTTAAAAAGCCACTTTGAATTTGTCAGTTACTTATTCTTTTTAAGCCATTCGATTACAAAAAAAATATTTTACCTCAAACCATTTTTATTTTATAAATTCTATCAGCTTCTCTTTTTATTGTCATATTTTTACCTTACCTCTATCTTTGCCTTCCAAACATTAATGGAATATAAAGGAATGATTATTGATGAAATGAAATAAAGTGAAGTAGGACAAGGTGGAATAGAATGAAACGCTCTTTTATATGGATTTTTTTGGGAGAAGGAACAGTTTCATTTAACCATTGTTTAAGAATTGTTGTTAAATTATGTTTTTCCTATTTTAGAGTTGGGGAAGGTGGAAGTATCGACGAATGGGAGGGGGTGAGAAGGATAAGGGGCAATTTTGTAATAATGTTATTTATTTCAAGCTATTTTATCCTTGACCCTCAAAAATGGGTTTTTGAATAGTTGAGGATGGCTTGGGAGGCCATCTTGAGCTATTCCAATCATTTTTAAAAATTCTTTCAAATAATGATATAATGCTTTTAGCCATTCCGTTCCATCCAAAAGAAATCCCAAGCATTACCTAATTGAATAGATGAATTTAATACTGGGCGGGCACTGTTAATTTCTTTTGGCAAAAATGCACTGTTCTGGTATTTTCTTAAAGTGGAGCCTCTAGCTTGAGCTGTCCAGTTTCTATTTTTCCCTTCTGAGCTTTATTTTATAGATTCTATTTTGTTTTAATAAATTATTTAGTTATATATATTTTTTTTCTTTTCATTAATTTTAAACTTTGCCCCACTCACTCTTATTTATATTTCCAATCACTAGCCTAATCTCTCTCTCACACCCCCACCTAGAGTTCCAACAGGGCAATCGTATATTTTGAAAACAAATATGCCATCTTCTGTCTTCCTTGTAACACTTTCTGCTCTACATCTTCTTCAAGGTGTTAAGAACATCATGGGCTGTATTATTTGGTTATCTTCAAATATTGAATAACGGAGGACTTGGGCTGTACTTAGATTTTTTGAAATGTTTGAACTGTGTTATTTCTCTTGTCATAAGAACTTCATGTTGAACTGGAAACTATGAGCATATCCTGTATCAAGCCCTGTACCCTTTTTCTGATATTTTGTTGTTGGCTTCTAGGTTAGTTCGCGGCAGAAGGAAACTAGTAGCACCTCAGGAATGCGTGAGAGTGTCCAAACTAGTCTGCTTTTACAACATAGAGCAAAAGTAAGTCACTTCCTAACATAGTATGAATTTTTCATCAACCATGATACCCCAGTTTTTCTTTGCACTAGAGGCAGGCATACCAGTTTTTATATTTCTATAGCAATGAGATTCTCCTTGGTTTCTAAAACTCCAGTATCATATGTATGAGTTATTCAAAAACATATCTTTCACATATAAATTCTCAATTTTAAGCAACTTCCTACTGTTAGTAATGAAAGCTATGAGCTACAGTTGTTCCATCAGTTTCAAGTTAGAATAAAGTTAGAGTAACGCAGGAAGCTTAATGTGCACCGGTGCTTGCGGCGCCTGTTCCTTTGGCTTTAATTATATAAACAGCTGTCCCATGGTATTTTAGTATGGATAATTTTTTTATATTTGTCATTTGAGCTGAAATAGGAAATAGTGCCAAAGCGCATACTGCAAATGGAAGAAGCCATTAGAAATCGTGATTTTGCATCTTTTGCCCAATTGACCTGTGCCGATAGTAACCAGTTTCATGCAGTCTGCCTGGATACATGTCCACCAATATTTTACATGAATGATACATCACACAGGTAAGTTCAATAATGCTGATATATGGTTTGTTTTATTATATCTTTTTGTTCACCAAGTGTAGCGTAAGTTTGGTTTCTTAAAATTTATTATTGATGATTAAATTACACTTCAGGATTATTAGCATTGTTGAAAAGTGGAACCGTTCAGAGGAAATGCCCCAGGTTTGTTATACGCTTTCTTGAAAAATTTTGAATTACAGTTATGCTAAAATATTATAGACTTCCTGTTTGTAAATTTCATGTTTAGGTGGTATAATCCGCAAAGACTCAAGATTTTAATAACGTGATGTACCACTCAAAACGTCATTTGTAGGGAAAAATGAAATCTTTAATATATTAACAAACTAGAACACAACTACTGAACCTCTTGCTTTAGAGATAAAATGAGATGTATATTATGACATTATTATTATAGATTACTGAAAAAAACCTCATTGAAATATTTTCCGCACCATGCTTTGGCAATATGAAGGTACAAATTGCTTTACATCCTTTTATATTGTAAAAGTACTTGTCCTGGAGAAGTAGTCCGCTCTGTGTCTTGCTTACAAACTGAAGAATGTCCAAGGTAGGAGGTTGAATCCAAGCCAGGAAAATGGCCAGATGAATGGTCTGCTCCCTCTTAGTGTTCCAAATCCACCTACCCCTTTAAGATGCAAGTACGCTTTAGCTACTAAGCTTCAAAAGAAGCCATAGGCTGATTTTGAAGTGGGAGATTGAAATCTTGTCTTTTTCAATTTTTAACAATTATCAACTAAATCCGCAGTTATTCCCTTTTTGTTTGCCCCAAAGCAAAGTAACATCTTAATAATCCTTGACTTGCATGCTTAATAACCTGCTAGCTTTTGTTACTTTACCGAAAGGCAATGAAAGAGGGAACTTTCCCTATCTTCAGTCTTGTGGCACTTGACGTGCTTGCTCCCCATTGATTGTCAATACTTGCCAAAAAAGTGAACATGGCGTGAAGCACAGGTGGATCAAGTTATACTTGGAGCTTGAATAAACCTATTTTCTCTCTTCCATCCAGTTCTCAAGTATTTCCTCTTCATTTTTTCCCCCATAATTCAGTTTCCTGTGTCATCACATCTTCATGTGCAATTTATGTATAAACATATTTAAGTAGCCTGCTTACATGCTTTACTTCCTGGCGTTCATGTATTTATATCACACGCAAAGACACAAACAAGTAGGTTCCATATAATATATTCAAGCTTTTTTTTTTTTTTTTAATCTAATGTTTTGACCGGCTTTCACTCCCAGGTAGCTTATACATTTGATGCGGGGCCAAATGCAGTCCTAATTGCACGAAATAGGCAAGCTGCTGCCCTTTTAATTCAGAGGCTGCTCTACTACTTTCCCCCAAATTCAGATGACCTTAACAGGTATTTCCTGTCAAAGTTTTGCAGGCTGCATGCAAACTGAACTTTGATTGATGCCAATCATGAGATGTCTTCTTCACCCTGGAAAACGTTCTTCATGCAGTTACGTCATTGGTGATAAGTCAATTTTACAAGATGCTGGGCTAAAAGGGACAAAGGACGTAGGAGATTTGGCGCCGCCTCCTGAAATTAAGGATGATATTCCATGTCAAAAATACAAGGGAGATGTCAGTTACTTCATCTGTACAAGACCAGGAAGAGGACCTATTTTGCTTTCTGATGAAAGTCAGGCTCTTCTCGACAGTGAAAATGGCCTTCCCAAGTGATTTTGTCGGTAGTATTCCCATGGTTGGCCACTTCCTGATCACATTTCGTTTACAGACTCTATTACTTGAAACATGTTCACTAGGTTGCCCATTCTCGGGTGCCCACCGCCCCATGGCATCATTATTTGTTCTTTCCAAATTTTCAGTTTGTGTTGTTTTATCTATGTTTCTGTAGTCATCAAGCAGGGTAAGGCCGTTTTCTTGGAGATAAATAAGCTTGTCATTTTTACCATTTCAGCTTGCAGGCAAAATTGCCAGCTTCCTGTGTGAAACATGTCTCTGCTTGACACCCCCCCAAAAAAAAAAAAAAAAAAAACTAAAGGTGTTCACGTCATTCCTTATTCATGTTAAGTTGTTCTCTTTTAATTGTACAGAGAATCATTCTATTCCATCATGTTTGTGTCGTAGAAAAAATTATTTATAGAAAAAAAAGGCATTTTCAAAACTTAAACCTTATGCAAACTTTTGTTTTAGCCTATGTGATACACGAGTTTTATATTGCAATTTTTAGAAATAAATGTTATTCTTGCGAGAAAATCTTTATCAAAAGAATAACTTTTAGTAGACATATTTTTTATATTATCTTATACGAAGTAGGGCTATGTAATTATCATATTTAATATTAAATTTGCATATTAGAGTCAAGGAAATGGTAAAAATTAAGTACATACGGTGTAAATGGATATGATGGGAAGCAAATTAATAAAAAATTATAGATATTGATAAGGAAATTTGAGAAAGTTGAATTAATAATGAATTTTATTGGATCATTTGAACTATCTAATAACAAATTAGTTAGAATTCTAATATCCATAGATTCTTTATGAACTCTAGGAATAGTCCTGTCTTCAATTGAGATAATTTAGTTATCAAAATCCTAAAGGACACTAATAGATGTCTTGGAGTTTGTTGCTAAAAGTCTCATGTTTCTTGTCAGTGTAAAAAGTTGTCCATTATCCCAAACATATGAAATTTAATGATGGCAAAAATAATATCTACTCTCGATCCACCTAGAATGACAGGAAATGTTTGACTAAAGTTTTTGCCAAACACAACAACTTTTAACTTTAAAATATCCTTTAAACATTTGTCAAGAGCGTCAAAATAAAACTTGTGCTTTATTGGAGCCTTATCTTATAATAGCAACTTCAGTTTAGTAATTAACAACTTTAGTTTAAGCATTAACAATATAGTTTGTCATAACTTCAATGTAGTCATACAATAACAACTATGTTATTATTATATTAACAACTTTAATTTATGTTTAACAACTACAAATTCTACACTAACAAAAATTACTCCAATCAATAAGGATTTGACCTATATATAACCCACAAGATTGAAGAATTAAATCTTGTTGCTAATATGAAGCTTTTATTGCTGAATGATTTATAAATATCTCTACAAGTATTCTTTAAGTTTGGAGACATGTCCTTGTCATAATAAGCTCTTAGGATATTACTCACCTAAATTTTTTCTTAAAAAAAAAAACAACACTTTCCATTATTTCTAATTACTTCATTTCATGATACTATTTTTTTATTTACCTATTCTAGACATATTTATTTGTCATTTTCCTAAAAATATATGCATATGCATGTTGCCCACTTTCCCAGGTTAGCTATCAAACGCGGTGCTCAATCCCTATGCACCAAGATTGGGACTGGGCCAACTCAATATTAAACTTAGATTTAGTCTTTTTTTTTAAAAAAAATATCAAATAAATTTTAAAAAGTAAGAAATAAATTTTATTTACTAAATTATCTCCATCTAAAACTATATTATCTTAAAAAATATTTTAAAAATTATAAAAGCTCAACAATTATATATTATGATAGAAAACAAATTAACATTTTGAATTCAAATAGTATATTTATTTTTAAATCTTTTTTATGATAATAACAAAGTAATTTATATTAGGTATAATCCATAAAGAAAGAAATCTTATAAAATTAATTAATATAAATAAAAAAATATAATAATATATGAATATATTTTGGCTGAGTAGGGCTAGGTTTGAGCTCAACCTGATGTCTAGCCTGACTCGATCTTTTATTAGACTTGCCGAGTTATCAAATCAATATTACATCCCTAATTAATATTAAATGTCCTTTATTATCTATATTATTCATAGACTATGATAAGTTTAAAATTTTTATTAAAGTTATTTTTATTCATATTTATCTTAATTTTAAAGTTATTGGAGTAATTTTTTATCCATTTGAGTATTAATATTAATTTTTTATAAAAAATTATTTTTAAATAAATAAGTTTTTTAATATGATCTAAAATTAATTGGTCATAATTTCATATATATTCAACGTTGAATTAAAAAAGTAATTAAGTTTTTATTTGATAAGAATAATAGAATTTCCACCAACAACTTTTCTTCATCTAATTACTAAAAAAACTTTTTAATATGATTTGAAATTAATGGGTTATAATTTCATATATATTCAACATTTAATTTACAAATTAATATTTTTATTTCATAAGAATAATAAAATACTCACCAATAACTTTTTTCATTTGATTATTAATGTCTCAAACAAACCATTGCATAATGGACATGATAAGGAAGTTAAATGTTATTAAATATTACACAACTATGATTATTTGATAATGAATCTCAATCTCTCTCCCCCGCCCCCAAAAATAAAAATCAATAGAAGAAGAAACCTTGAGATAGACTTGCTATGGACAAATGGAAGACTAAATAAAAATTAGCAACTTAAATACACGATTGAACGGAAAGATTATCTGTACAATAAACTTGTAAATAGAAAGTTAATCAAAGTTAGAATCGTAGAATGAAATCATAGCCAAAATCAATTTAATTTATTTATAATTGGCATATTATCTATGTTGGAGGAAGTTTTTTTATTTAAATTTCCAATCTAATTTAATTATCAAATTTATTTGAAATTTAAATCAAAAAACTTTTTTTCCTTGAATGATATTTCTTGTTTTATTCCTCGGGCACTACAATAAAAGTTCAAAATCACCACCTATTAAATAATTACATAGTTTAGATATTTAAATGGTCAATATTATTTTTTTATCAAACTATTATATTACTTTTTAACTCACTTGAATTAATATTTAGGAAATAACCAATTAATCAGGGTTTTTTTATCCCAATAGCAAGTATTCAAATCAAATTCTTATTTGAAGTCATGTATGTACAAACTCAATATTGATTGCTGGTTAAAAAAAAAACTCAATATTAATCTATAGCATTTTCATGTAAATTTAAATTTTTAAACTCCTATCTCATTTCATCTCTATTATTTTCTCTCAACTCTTCCATCATTCCTTTCACAATGATCGATACCATTCTCTTTAATTATGAAATATTGTATCTTATAGAATTCAATCCAAATTTAAATAGTTGAAATTCAAATAATATTTTATAGTTATGTAAAATAACTTGATAGCATGGAATGAATAAGTATTTAAAAAGGATTGATTGATCATGCATCAAATATGATAGCCTCCAATAGAAGGATACGTATAACAACAACAAAAAAATATAAAATATATGCAATGAAAATATATAACATTCCATACCATTAAGGTCATAGATAACTTATTAAGTTATTTTTCAAATTTTATATAGTGAATAAAGAAATTTATTTTTTAAAAAAATAAAAATATAATCAATGATAGATGGAAATACATGTCACTTTTTTCTACCAACTGAATTTTAGTTATGAAGCTTAATTTTTGAAATATCTTTAGGATATGTTAAAATTTTCAGAAATAATGAGGTTTCTTTATTATATATATATATATAAAAAAAAAAGAACCTAGATTCAAATTTTTTTGGAGTATTTATATACTCCCTCCGTTTAAGAATATAAAATATTTTTTGAAGAGTTGGATATTTAAAAATATAAGACATTTTTAAATCTTTTGAGATGTAATCATTGTTTTTTTTTTCAAAAGTTCCTTATTGATAATAACTTTATATTTATTGTAGGGTGTTTAATGGGGGTGAATATAAAAAAATTAGGTTAGTTTAAAAGTAGGTAACTACTTTATTAGGGGGTGAGATTCAATTAAAAATGCCTTATATTTTTTAATGGAGGGAGTATGTGTGTGCACGCTCAATCATTTGAACCTAAATTTTTGGCATATCCTTATGGTGGATGAAAACTTTAAATAGATATATATTAATTTGAATTGAAATATGATCAGGTTTGAATTTCAAATAGATAAAAAAATAATTTTATACGCATTTAAAAATTAATAATTCATCCTGCATGCTCCTAACTATATATTTTATATACATTAAAAATAATAAATCATCTCAAATCTAACCTCAATCTTGACTCTAAAGCATAGAGTCGTAGAAAAGGCATCTGAAATACAGAATTGTATAGCAAATTTAAAAATGTACACATGACATTTAATCCTACTTATATATATATATAATAATTTTATAAAGTGATCCTTTTCAATATTTTAATTTTGATGCCGTTAGTTTTGTCAATAAAAGATGATCATATTGAATTTTTAAATATTTACAAAATTATTTTTAAATATTGAAATATTAAATTTAATTTTTTAAATAACAAGAATTGATAAGAGAATTATCATTTGAGATTGAAGTAATAGAATTATGCAACTGAAATTATATTTTACAAAATTAAAGTACTAAACTAAAAACTAGATAGATTTAGAAGATAAATATACACATTTCACTTTATTTATACTGTAACATAATATAATATTTTGAGTCATTCATAATAACAGTAGCAGTAGCTTGAGCAGCAATAATAAATTAATAATAAAAGAGAACAATATCAGTGCATGCCATTGATGCCAAAATGGTTCCGCCAGAATGCTCGAAACATCATCAACGATGAGTGGAGTGCAAGGTTTTAGAAACTGAAGTGGCTACTAGTCCGATCTAAGACCAGGATAATATTCCATCACAAAAATACAAGGGAGATGTTAGTTACATTATCATAGATATTTTCTTAAAAAATTAAAAATATTTACATTGTCATATTTTTATTATTTTTAATCTATAAAATATCTTAAAATAATATTTATAATATATTTTAACATTAATTTTTAAATTTTAAGACCCACATATTTTTTTTAAAAAAAATTGAGTCTTCTATATCTTTTAAATATCCTAAAAAATAGATTTTATATTTTTTATAAAATAAAAATAGTTAATTTTACAGTAAAAATTAAATTAAAAATAATTTTAAAAATAAAAAAAGTGTTAATTCAAGTTTTCGGATCATCTTAAATAAGTTGAAAAAAGTTTGAGCGAAGCTCAATTATTCAAACTTTTTCATAAGTTTGAGTTTATTTTGGCCGGCTCAAATTGAGCCTTAGCTTGCTGAATTATAGGCTCTAGTAATTTGGGGTTGTGGTGGTTGTTGGAAGACCTTAAAATGACCCCAACAGCTTTTCTTCTGGAGGAACATAAAAGAAGAGATGAAAAGCTTTGTTCAGAACTGTTTAATTTGTCAGCAAAATAAATATCAGCCTCAATCTCCGAGAGGGTCTCTTCAGCCTTTGGGAATGCCAAAAAATATTTGGAAGGATGTTTCAATGGATATCATCACTGGTTTACCCAAATCACAGGGCATGGAAACAATACTGGTGGATCGTCTCAGCAAATATGTTCAATTCATTGGTATTCACCGTCCCTTTATTGTGAAATTAGTGGCTGCAGTGTTTCGCAGAGAAGTGATACGTCTTCTTGGGTTCCCCAAATCCATTGTTTCTGATCGTGATACTATTTTCCTTAGTTCTTTTTGCCAAGAACTATTCCGTCTCATTGGCACACAATTAAGTATGAGTCCTGCATGTAATCCTCTGACAGTCAGCCAAACTGAAGTGATGAACCGACCCAGTCTTCCATGTTTCTTTGCTGAAATATGCCCATGGGTATGACTCACAAGCTCCTCTTCCTCCACTTCCCATTAATGATGAGTGGGAGTTTCAAGTTGAACTTGAACAGGTGCAAGAAGTGCGTGTTTCAGAAGCTAACAGGAACTAGTGATTGAATTACTCATCTAGTGGAAGAATTGTCCTCTTGAAGAATCAAGTTGGGAATCTTATGATTTGATTGCTTCTTGGTAAAAAGGTAGAATAGAGAATCTTAAACTTTATAAAAAAAATAGAAAAAATTAAAGAGAACACTTGTAAAAATTATTAAATAAAACATTTTAATTAATAATATTTTTAAAAGTTTATTTGATAATAGAATATAATAACATTGTGTAATTTATGTAGCCGATCACATCTAATAAAATAAGGCTTATTATTATTGTCAGTTTCCATCCTTCCACGTTAACGACAAGGCTACTCTGCAGGGGTAATGTTAGAGTTCTGAATAGTAAGGACAACCGTCCTTTACTAGTTTTCTCTAGGAAAAGACGCAACAAACTTATTTCTGGGGAGTCAGTTTAATGTCTTAGGATTTTATTATGTTATTTGTGTTTTATATGTTATGCTTCGCACTAAGTGTCTTGTTATATGAGCTTTTTTGCCTCTGGTATGAGGATCCTCCCTCTATAATTGTTTGCTTTATAGTTCAGAGTGACACATAGTAGAACTGCATAAAGTTCACGTACTTTTGTCACCTCTACTTTTTCATAAATTCCACAAAAATCTTATAATTAAAGAAAAATAAAAAGTTTTAAACGCGTCTCATGATGAATTTCAACAGATTTTTTAGGAAGAATGACAACTACACACTTGATAAGAAAGTTAATATCATGATGGGACTTTTTAAAGACTTTCAATGTCGAAATATGGAAAAATGAGGATTGAATTTTGAAAATTTAAGTTGTTATGTAATCCTGATTTAATGTTAACCTTGTTAAATGATCTTGAATTGTCATTCTCCAGATTTTTTTATGTTCATTTAAAAAAACAGATTTTTTTTATGGAGAGTTGCTTTTTCACAATAACTAAGGAATTGAAAACCTTTTTCTTGAGTTAGAGCCTGCATTTTTTTCTTTCTCCAAGGGGTTTTCATTCTCATTTTTGCATTGCTATTCCCCAATAAATTATTTCACCTATTGAATAAAGCAATGATTTTGAGTTTTGACACACACAAAGAGTCTGACAATCATTTGCATATGGACAGTTACGCACAACTGCATGATCACTAGGAAACACCCCTGCGATCAAGGCAATGTGAAGCTTCTAATATTTAGCAACCTTAAAGTTATGACAAGTGTTGAGTTGCAGAGAAATTCTAGTCAGTTTTGTTCAAATTATAAGTACGAATGAAAACACCTCAGGGAAGAACTAGAGAGAAAATGCTAGAATGTGAGGTACTCCCAATATGGTACTTTAAAAAAAAAAAAAATAGAATTAGTAAAACAATAAGGATCCTACCATCTAAATTAACAGTTTAATAGTTAAACCTTGAGTACAGAAAAAACACCTTTTCCAAACGCAATAGTGATACCAGATTCAGAGTTTTAATTTAGATTCCTAAGGAGTTTGGCCTGCTAATCATACCTGCAGAAACATAACATATGGTCTGCGAAAATATGTACATGAATTCCAACAATTAGATCAATGAAATGATTTGTCCACATGTCCAATTTGAAGGTACTGAAACCAACTAGCCCACGCTAGCAGCAGTGCTAATACTCTTTTTTACGTTGGAAAAACTTCAGAAGTATGATAAAATAAGAATAGAGAAGACAATCTTTGGTGGTGAAAAAAAAAAAAACAAAAACAAAAACATGAATCTATTAACTTGATAAAAGCACATGAAGACCTTTGACTGTAAGCTTGGCTGAAGATCTAACTTCACCAATTTGGTATAGCGCCTAAAATTTCATGGAACCTGATGGGAAGCGAAGCGCCAAGCAAAAATTTTAAACATCGTTGATACTAATTCCCAAAGGTTTATAAAATGTAGCTCCATGCGCTTCCACTTAATATGCCAGCTGAAAGGAACCACAGTAATGACCAGCATTTTCACTGCTTGGCCTCTTTGATGCTATTGGAGTTGCCTTTTGAACGCGGGAAGTTAATCAGAAAAGAGTCCATAATAATCTATAGAAAGAATTAAGTTAGCAAGAGAAATGACTAATCAGAAACATTTTGCAGAGAAAACATCAATAACCTGGTTTAGATGTGCTGCAACACAAGGAAGAACCAATAACCCAGATTCACCAAGTGCACCACGAAGTGGTTCTATTACTGCCACCATTACTGGTAGTGTTTTCTGCAAGGAATGACAATATATCAAGTTACATAGGCTGTCACAAAAAAGGCCCACTGTAGGAATATTCAAATGACAAACTTTTCGAGAAGAAAAAGCCTAATATGTCATGATTTGATCCTTAATTCCAAAGTACTCTGAGAAATCAAGGAAATAAAGATTTAGTTTCTCACCTGACTTGCAACTAGTATAAAAGCGATGGCATTTTCTTCCCTAGAAAATACTGACTCAATACCACCAGTGATGGCTGAAATACTTCGCACAGCAATGATATTGAATAATAGTAAGCTCAGATGGAGAAGTCTGCAAGGCATCAAGACATCAAATTCTCAATTATCACAATTCTCATACCTCCACGTCCTCTGCATCAAGAAGTCTGAGAGGAAGGCTTTTGTTCCGACTGCAACGCTTAACAGAATTAAAATGAATTATCTGCGATGGACACGTAGGCCTAACAAACAATCATCAATTTTTGCACTCCAAAGATGCTTTTTAGAATAGACTTTTGACATCTTTCACGTGCATTGGCTTTGCCAGCCAGATTGCGCCATGTTATATCATTTTCTTGTGTTCCATCTTCCGTGTTTTCTTCCCATCAATACAAGAATCCCTCTTTTGAAGACAGATAAAGCAAATACCTATGGTTATGTTACATAGTCTTGCCTCCTTTTAGTCATTACTCCAAAAATGAGAGTAAACAAAATTTCCATTATAATAAACAAAATAAACAAATCTTGAAAAGTCAGAATACAAAATATGGAAATGCAAATATAACTGCCAATTCAATTTGTTGTTTCAGTATTTATTCTAATACTGTTGAATATCATGGATGACACCAATTAAAGTGAGTACGTGACGTTGTAATGTAAAATGAGAAATTTATCAGAATGCAAGAAACTCCATAAATGAAAATCTTCAAAAAATAATCAATCAATCAATTGATAATGGACTTCAAAATCTAATCCATGAATTATATGCATGAACAGATTAGGTCAACTAGCACAGTACCATAACACATACTCAAATCTTTATTAGGTGGTAGTACTGGATGTGAGATAGTTGTAAAATAAATATGCAATCACTATAACACTACTACTCCCTCCAAACCCCAATAGAAAACATCTTCTAGAAGATTTGCTTGGTCCAAAATATAGGGCATTAGAAAACTTTTATAATTATTTTTTCAACTATATTTCTATTTCATTTATTATTCTTTTTGAAAAAAATTATGCATTAAATTTTAATTATCATTATCAAAGCACTTATATAGGGTATTAAATGAGGGTAAAATTGAAAAGTAATAAATTTTTTTTTCTTAAGAAACTAAAGTTTCAACTGACATTTTTGAAAACCATGAATTAATTATCAATGTCATATATTTTGTTCGAGAGAGAGTATTTAAAATGCTTTCTTGAGTGCACCCCCTCTAAGCATGCTTTGTCATTTGTATTCCCTGACTGTGAATAAATAATCATCAAAATCAATGATTTTATGCCATATATTTTATCTTCTTTCATTCTCTCCACCTTTTTTCATAAGATAGGAAACCTAGGATAAGACTGACAACTGAATCATAAGCTCCCTCTGTATTAATCTAGTTATTATGGTATCTCTTGGAGTGCACCCTACCCAAGGATATTTGTATCAATTTATATTACCTAGGTATATAAATCATTTGACATCAACAGTTACATGCCTTCACATGCTGAAAACCTTTCTCACAAACTTCTTTAACATGTAAAGCTGGCAGAATCACCAAATTTATAAATCTCTTTATCGTATAGTTATTTATGATTAGAGAATATTTCTAGATATTTGAAAATATCGGTAAATATATGATAGAAGTGATTCTAGGGATAAATTTTTTATTAGATATTGATCGTATTCATTAGGCATTGATGTGTAGAGGCTCCTGCCTGTGTATAAATTATCTATCATATTTGTGAATAAATCATGAAGAAGAAGAACGTGCAGAACAAACATTCCCCATTTCTGAGTAAATCATAGAGAGAGGAAACACAACAGTTGTTAAGTTTTCATAACAAAAATTGCAACGAATGGTGGAATAATGCATCCCCAGAATTATAGCATTATGAGAGATGAAAAAAAAGTGGATAGAACATACGTTCCCAGTCCAATTGCGACAACAAAAACTCTTGGTTTCACCATTAACAACAGTGACCTAGACCTGCTCACTTGTATCCATGGCACCTGCATGACATTAAATTCAACAATAAATTTCCTATAAAATTTGAAGGTCGAAATGAGCCAAGGTGCTGACTCAAAATAGATCTGAAAATCATTTCAGAAGACCTATGAAATTAAAGCTCTCCAAATAATTGTTACATGGGATATACTCCCCACATGTGGAGGAGTACAGCTTCAAATCAAAATTCGATGATTAGGGAATGCAACCAAACATCTGCACATTGTTGTGGGATTGGAGAGAGAGACTAAAGCTTTGGACTCTTTCAAAAAATTGACTTTGGCGAACAGAGAAAAATTAATTCATAATGCATGACAGCATGACAGATTAGCATTGTAATTTTTCTGGCAGCAAATGCAGAAAATGTTATGAAATTTAGAGACTTAAAAAAAAACAAAAATTACATGGTTTTTCCTTGAAAATAAATGACGTTCAACTTAAGAAATAAGCGGATAAGAAACAGACTTTCAAGTCTCATCTAAATAAAAACTATAAAATGTTATTATCAGAACTCTAATTCTATCAATTTGAATACAAGAAAAGACAAAAATTGAGCTAGGGACACTAGATCTCAAACAGATGGATGCCAAAATGATGATTATTCAGGTAACAAGCTAGATAGTAAAAAGGAATTTAAACAGATTGTTAAGAATGAAGAATCAACAAAACTCAAGTTTTGATAATAGAGTTTTTATCTTTTTTCTTTTGGTGAGAGATAAAACAAGAAACTTTAGTAACATGAGAAGAGAATACAGAGAGTCAAAGGATAAGAATTCCTCAAATAAACCAAATAAAAACTAGGACAGGCTGAAAACAGAGTAGCATATGAATATTCCTAAATAAGGAATTATAATCAATAAAAAGAATATATGAAATGCATTTCTTGCTTTCATCAAAATTAATATTCTGAACAGAACAAAATTTAAAGAACTAAAAAACTCAACCAATCTTCACCCCAACTCGGAGCAAGGAGATGAATTCACATTGCATAGGTAATGGTCTTACTAAACTAAGAAAAAATGCGTTGATCCCTGAGAAAAGTTTACGGTTTTGGTCAACAAAGTCAGCTACACCTGAAAGAAAGATATTATTCATGTTATGACATAAATTACAGCTCAAACATGTAAAACATGCAAGAACATTATCTAGGAGCAAATTACTTGACAAATAAATATTGGATACTGCTTGTGCTATAAATCCTTTTAGAAACTTGGAGTCCTATTTCCTTGTCATAACCAACCATACTCTATATATGTAATAGTGAGGGTCAGATTGCTTGATTTTACCTCACATAACATTATTAAACAGACTAACAGCTGAAACAAGCTTAGACAATGTAACACACCTTTAAAAGATTCACGTACGACCTGACCACACAAAGGAATAAAGAAATATTAAAATACTTCTAGGTAGCAAATTACAACAAAAGGATGCTAGTATTCTTCTTCACAGACCAAATTAAGCTGTGAGATATTAAACAAGGAAGAAGAAAAAAGTAGATATAACCACCAAGATATGTATATAATTGAATACAAAGTGGTGAAACAAAAAAAGAATAACAGCAGCAACAACAACAAAAACAACAATAATAACAAAGAAATAAACCAAATAATTTGAGATGTGATAAAGAGAGAGATACAAATAAGTTGGGGAATGTCAGGTGTAACTTTTTATAGGACAGCCTTTATTTTTTCTCACTCTCATGAACTTATACATGAACTTCAAGTAACAGCCAGCTAACATATGGATGTAACTAATTGCTTGATATAAGCAAATGAGACTTTTTTTTTTTTTTGTTAATGAGAAAATGAGACGCATTTTAACTGAAATGTATGACATGATGGGAAGAGTATATTAATTCAAGAAACCAAAAGGTGAGTTTATCGTGCAATACTATGTAAGCAATGCATCAGTCAATTAACAAACATTGCCATCAAAACAAATCCAGCCTCTTAAAACATTCTGATGATGGAAATTAAACATAACGCAAAGCCCAAGGATAGAAAACACAACTTTTTAGCCTGAACCACATCAATTTGTGAACATCCAAATAATAGAATCATTCTATCAAATCTCTATGAAGGAGAAAACAGATTACCTTCCCCAAAATGAGGGGGACTAATATGGTCAGAAGAAGACTTTTAAATAAATGATCAGTAGGTACAGTTACTCCAACTCCATCAGCCACAAACTTTGTGATGGAAAATGGGACCTAGGAAGAAGATGAACATTAGCATCGAATGCAATAAAAAGCACAATAAAATGATAAATAGATCAAATGAACAAAAGATTGCAGAACTACAATAGTTAAAAAAGAGGAGATAAGGAGCAAGGAATAAAATCTCAATGACAGTTAAATGAAAAATAAATGGGACATGGGGAGAAAAGCCTGCATATCAAACCAATTGAGTTTTGCTGAAATTACAAAAAAATCTCTTCTATTTTTAAAATATATGCAAATCTCCCCTAAAACAAAATTTCCTGGCATTTTAGTCCAATAGAGATGCTGAATTAGCTACATAGGATTTCAAAGTTCTGGGGCCTACGAAACATAATTGAAAGATGTATAAATTTATTATTAGCAATAAGAAAATTCATTTGCAGCAACATGTTTGTTCTCTTGAAATCTACACAACAATACAAAAACTCAAGGATAAAATTGAAGAAATGTTATCCAACTCTTACTGACTCACAATGAATATTCCTAACAGATTAGATATTACTGTCATTGCAAGAGCCAGAGCAGAGTTTCCCCCAGCAAGCTGCAGAAGCAAAATGGAAAAACTCAAATAAAAGTAAATCCCAGATCCATATCTGTAGGGACAAGGCATTTAACAACTATTAACAATACAAAGGTTTAGGACAACAGATGGAAAAAATGGATAATCATTACCTGGGTGAGTGCAACACCACTTGATAATGTGGTTGGCATGCAACTAAAGACAGCTAATCCTGTAAGCCAACAGAGTTTTTTTTTTTTTTTTTAAATCTCAATATTGAAGCATGTTACTGACTGAAATTGAGATGTCAATGACAAATACATGGACCACCAACTACCAATCATTGGAACAAAATGCTATATATAAGATCAAAATGGTGGGGATGAGGAGCTAGAAATTGTGAACAGCGTTGAAAAGAAAGTACAGGTGGATAAAAAAAGCCAAACATGTAGTTATTGGATGGCATTTTTAAAGTTTTCAGAGCAAAAAAAATTTTTAAGTCAAAAAATAACCTGAAACTTTGAGTAGGAATAAGTATATTAGGGTGCATTGTCTAGGGTAAAAACAAGTTTTTGATCAATAACTGATCATATGGCAAGGAGACCCAAAATACACATCTCCTCTCACATTGCATATTATCGTTAGATTGCAATAATTTATCATTTTTAAGAAATCGTTGGGTTGGGGGGATTTTTCCCCCAAATGAATCATGTGAATATCAACAAGTAACAATTCACTCTCTCTCACTGCTCTCCTTTTCCAGTACAAATTCCAACTCAGAAGCTTATGCTGATGAGTGAAAGGCCCATTAATAGTTTATACTCCCTCTACACCAATTTATAAGTCACTTCTAACTACTTCATCAAAACCAAGGAGAGGTAGTTAAATTATTGATGTTGTCTGAAAAAAACAAAAGAAAGAAATTTTCCAATTTACCCTTATTAAATACATCAACATTAAAAACACTCTCTCTCTCTCATGTTACCTTTCACTCTCTACTCATCGAAAATTATGAAAGGGTAAGCCAGAAGAAGGTAATTAATGATCCACCTTTCTATGCATAGTAACTTATAAATAGGACCAAATGCTTTTTACGCAAAATTAAGCAACTTCATATATTTCTGATAGGCTCATTGCTGACTTCTAATATTACTAATGTAAAATACTACGTCAACCATTAATGTGTACCACACCTATCTGCCTAAACAGCACGGCACAATATCAATTGCTCCAAGTAATGTTTGAAAAGAAGAAACACATTATTCCTCCCATGGTACATGTTGCATGCATTCAGTCAGTTGATTTAGCATTACTCATAGCTAAAATCTTTTTAGTTTTCTTTGATAGAATTTGTTGCTAGAATCATTATAATAAAGCTGTCATCAAATATTCAAAATGCTATAATGACCTGAAAATAATTCAAATAACATGATTATAAAATCACTCCTGCTTTAAGTAGCACCAAAACCACCAAACCTGTAATAAATTCTTGGGGTTGGAGCTGAATTTGCAATATCGCCCTTGAAAAGTTAGGCGTCAGGAACAGTATTGACACCTATATGAAGAAAAATGGAGAGTATTACCCATTTATTCCAGCATATATGTCAAACCAAAGCAAGTGATAGCCCTAACCCCACCGGAAACAAGGGATAAGAAAGACAGAAACATAGAACAACCAAATGTTCTTTTGGGGGGTGGAGAGGAGGAGCACATATTGGCCTTTTGTTTGTTCTCTGCTATTCCCATTACAACAGAAACCCAATAGGTGAAACTTTCCAATATTGTATTCTTTCATTTAAAAAAAGCAAATCCAAACACAATTACAACATTGAATCCCAAGTTAAGACAAAAAGAAACTATTATGGAGAATCAGCTTACAAAAGGCAGACTTAAGAAATTCAAGGTCATACTAGCCCAAAGAGACCAACGGGCCATGCTTCCACGGCTGCACCAATTTCCTTACTACGCAGCATCAGTCCTAAATGATAATGCATGAATCATGATATGAGAAAAATAAGGGTGCTGTGAGATGGGAATCATAAAAGTAAAACAGCATACAGAGAGAGAAACGCCCTTCGAACCTAACCTGAGATTATAAAAATTCCAAATGGACCAAGTTTTGACACAGAATATTTATCAGCTAGGCAGCCGAGGCTTGGATAGGCTAGTCCGAGTGTCACTCCAGAGATGAGAGCTACGTGTCACAATCAACACAAACAAAATTGTTAATCATTAAAATTGATTTACCAACGCAAAAATCACACAGCCATGAAGTAAGCGACAACTTTTTTTTTCATAAAGTTAAATACATAGAAGAATTGCTACCCAAGGGTAAAAAGTTATTCCCAGCAAAGCTCAAGATGGGTTGTGCCCAACTCAATCCCTTCGTCAGAGCCGAGAGATTGGTAGGATTGCTTCCATTACCATCTATCTGAAACCACTGCAATATCTCTAAGCCACCATACATATACATACTTGCAAATTGCAGCCAATGATTTTTAAAATTGAATTTAAAACAAAATGGGCCTTGATTCGCATATGTTGAAAAAGCCAACATCATAAATTCCAGCTGTAACTAATATTTTCTCGGCAGTAACGCAACCGCCTAAACTACACGCAAACACACGCATAAATTCATCAGAACTTAACCAGAAAAATCATAGCCATTTGAACTCAGATAAGAGAACAGGCACAAAATTACATCTTTGCACAACTAAACTCATATCCCAGCTCAAATGGCCCCACTTTTAATTTTCCTGTCAAACTAGATGAACCCATGACGCGAAGTTGTGAAGGTAAGTGAATTGTGAAATTGTTCAAGCAGCATTGTTTACTCAATGATGATTGATAACACAGTTGCAAGAAACAAAGAGCAGTAGAAGGAGATTGAACCTGGCCGGAGGGCTGACAAGCTCTAACGATAGCAGGTAGGAATCGTGAACGGCGAACATTGCAAGTCAGTGAGGAAAAGGAGAGAGAAATGTCGCGAAATTTTACATCGATGGAGAGTAAGTCAGAGTTCCGATGACGGAAAGCCGACGCGGGGGCGGGAAAGCCAGTGACAACCAGAGCCTGGATGGTTCCCGCCATAAGACTTGCCGTCGAGTTCAGTGGCTGACAATGCTGCCTAACCCATGTTGACTTGATGGAGCTATATTGTGCTCTCAAAAAACCTTTTTTTATAAAAAGACAATCCCTTTTTTGGCCAACAAAAAATAGGTTAATTTTCTGACAACAATAATATTAGATTAGATCAACCATTGAAATGGGTTGAGTTGTGTGGATAGATAGATAGGCATGGGCACTTGGGCAGGGTCCGCATGGAGACACTTTCGGTGAGTGGTGACAAGATTTACCCCTGCCGATCAGTATTTAATATTTAATAATTTTAAAGATATTTTATGTTTATTCAGTTTAAAATATTCATATTCTATTCAATAGTAATACAAATAATTTTAATAATAAAGATATAATAAAAATTACTCAATACTACCAACAAGTATTGATTACAAGGAATTATAATCGTTTAAGTAAGGAAGTTTTGAACTTGAAACGGGTACATATAAATATAAAAAACGTATTTAAAAAATATGTTCTCAATTGAATACAACAATACCCTTAGTTAATCCTTAAAAAAAAAAAAAATCTCCTCTCTTTACCTAATGTGTGTTGAGATCTCTTATCTATCTGCCATGTGCTTTGAATATATCTTGCATGTCTATCATTCTAAAGGTAGTCTAAACACATATCAAAATTCCAATAATTACCTTATCTTTTGGGACCTAGGATAACATTGGGTGGCTTGATCTACTCATTAAAAATGAGAACTTCAACTTCATGAGTCTATTGTCTGTATTGCATTGCTATATTATTGATTTTTCTTGATTTGATCTTCGGTCTATATTGCATTGCTTAAATTTATTAATACATTTTGATTAATTAATTTTAATATTGAGATTTAGAAATATTATTTTATTGATATTTGAACCAAACTTTATTTTACCCACTAATTAAATGAAAAACACTAATCAAATCATAATTTGTAATTATTAATAATTAGACGTTAGAGATAAAATTGTTTTTACAATAAAGGCTTGAAACGTTATTAGAATTTAGATTTGATTTCACTTAAGAAAGCATTTAAAAAAACTTTAAGAGGTGTTAATATCAATCCATCAATCAATCAATTTATGTTCTTCTGATTGACTGACGGGAGCATTAACTCTATCCATCTCCATGTCTTCATTAATTCCGCTTCTCCATTCACTGCTCTTTCCCCATGCATCTTCACGTCTCTCAATACTCAATATCTTCAAGAAATATTAGGCCTCTGACGGTTCAAATTCGGTGCAAAGTGAGAAAGGGAGTGAGAGAGACACAAATATCTTCATTCTTCTTACTTGCACGGTAAAACCATGACAATAAACGAAGTTAGCGATCCCTTGGTGGTGATAGAAGATTTGGGTTTGGTCTAGGTAGCATGTAGTCGAGAGAGGAAAGGTGGATCAAAGGATGAGTAGCAAAGGAGGGCAAAATTGGGAAAATCCTTAAGATCCTGTGCATGAAACTCATGTCCAGAATCACAATAGATTTGAATGCTCATGTCTGAAATCCAAATCTATTTGATGAATGTGTGATGCCAAAAAGATGTAGTAAAAATGATGAGAGGAAGCATCAAAGAATGCGGACTTTATTTGAAGTGATCAAGGTGGTTGATGGCATTTCATGTACAAAAATGTTCTATGACAGATGGAGTTTTAATTATCAAATTTGCTTTAACTGTAATTTATCTAGGTGTGTTGCAATTGATATGGTATAGCAAGTGCGACCTAGGCAACTTTGGCATCAAAACCACGTAATAAATATTTTTATGAGATTTGGCTCGATGCTTTCTTTATGTTTGTTTACTTTCTCATCCTTACAACAACATTGTTGGACTCCTTAAAGATGGTGGCAGCTTATATATATGATGGCAGCGCCAAACAAGAAAGGATATGATTTTTTTGCCACAGTATAATTGAATTTTATAGTGCCACAGTATCCAAACAACATGGAGTAAATGTTATTGTATCATTCATTCAAGGAGACTGCAATGCTTATGATTCCATATTGTTAATGAGTGTATTGATTGGATGACTCCTACTATGTTTACAATTTAACACTATTGAGTATTTTGAGTATTCATTTAGCCCTCTCATAAAAGAATTGGTTGAACTCCATCTTCTGACATATAACTATTATGATATTTTCATTTCATAGACGGTAACCTTCATGTGCTCTCTTGCTAAATTAATTTTACTTTCCATCTTGGTTTTCTTTTTCCATATGGTAGCAACCTATTGACATGTTTATTGTAAATAGAACTTTTTTTTAACATAATTGTGCATTTTAATGTAAAGTTATACACAAAGTATAATGGAAATTTTTAATATTAATGCAATTTTAATATATTGATTTCTTACTATTTAAAACCTTGAGAACTATTTCTATAACTTTTCATTTTCATTTCGATCAAACAAAGTATAATGATAGTGTTCTCAGCAAACGCATAATGGAATGACAATTTTTTTTTTTTGGATTTTGCTTTTGCTTCATTATTTAAAAAAAGATGGTTAATGCTGTAAATTGTGGGGAGAACACCAACAAAGGGTCCTCAAAGAAATTTTATTTCTGAACAAAATTTCTAACAAATAAACACTAATAAGTGAAGTTATTGTAATCCGATTGATTAAAAAAAATTAACTTTCATTAATTAATAAATTTTAGACTAATGTTAATATAAAATTTTTTTTAATTTATTAATGAGATTTAATTTATTTTTTTATTTTGTATGTATTTTCAATTTACTTTTACGAGAGATACAAGAGCAATCTCATTTTAAAATTTTTTTGATCGTTAGCATTAACTCCATCTGGCTATCCTTCTCCATTCACTGTACTTTTCTATGCCTTTTTAATTTTTCTAATAAATGAGATTTAATTTATTTTATTATTTTTTATGTATTTTTAATCTATTTTCACGGGAGCATTGATTCAATAAGAGTCCCATTTTTAAATTTTCTTGATTGTTAGCATTAACTCCATCAGACTATCTTTTTATATTCACTGTACTTTTTCATGTCTTTTTAATTTTCTTTATCAATGAGATTTAATTTTTTTCCTATTTTCCATGTATTTTCTTGATTTACTATACTCAATATCAATTAACTATCATCAATTTTTATCCATAAACATTAACGGCAAAAAGGAAAAAAGAAATAAAAAGAAGCTTATATTTGATTTAGATCATCAATCCTTATCTCATGATTTTGACACTTCAAACTATGCATGTTTCACATACATTTCGCCCTGACAAGAATGACTCTTCATCTTTCACATTGAAGAAATGAGGTGGAAATGGTTCCATAGACTATATATATTCAATTATATATATTCAATTCTTTAACCATACATACATATATACATATGAAAATATATATATATATATATATATATCTTTTCCCCTTGGTGAGAAAGAGATATGAGTGTACTTTCTTATACATTTCAGGCACAAATCATTTTCTTTCTTCTAACCTTTTAATATTTATATTTATAATATTTATAAAGATTAAAAAAGTTTAATAATTTAAAATATTAGCAATAAATTTTAAATTTAATCAAACACAAGATGTGTATAAATAAAATATCCAAAAAAAATGAATAAATAAAGAAAATCTTGAAAAATTTAGCCACCTTTTGATATGTCAATATCAAAGGCATTGATAATATTTGCCTCAAATTTCTTAATTGTAACACAAACAACGTATAGAAAACTGTCTAATTTTTACAATAAAATTTTCATTACATCAAGACATCAAGTATAAAAAATGTTTGGATCTAATAAATAATTTAAATTTATTAACTTAAACAGTATCTCAATTATAATTATTAAATTTTATCAATATTTAAAAATTATTAAAAAACAATTTTCTCTGAAAATTCAAAATAATCTCATCATCATAACAATATTCAATGTACACTAACCCCTCCAAAAATTTGAAATCTATTACTTTTTAAATATTATATGATAAAATATCAGATTGCTATTCAATGGGGTATTTTGTACGAATGGATTTGTGTTACTCATATCCAAATATATATAGAAAAGGATTAATTGTGGCCTTAAAAACGCTTGAAAATACGAAACCGAATAAGAAAACCATTCATTATTAATTGTAAGTTCGCAAAACTCTGGAAAAAAACTATATATATATATATATATATTTATTGATATAGTAAAAAAAAAACCAGCTTCATACTGTACTTAAAGAGTTTTAACATTTAACAAATTCTAATCTCCCATGATTAAGCGATTAGAGATAGACCACACGATGTTGCAGAGATTCCTAAAATCTCTGTTATTATCTCTGATTGGCGTTATTGTCTTAGAGGTTTTCTCCAGAGTTTCTCCACAAGTTCTCGCTCTCAGCTTCGCTCCCACTGCTTCAAGTCTCACTTTCTGATAATAACCAGACGCCAAATTCTGCTTAGCACCACCGATTTCAGCCATGGCTTCCTTGTACATCTCAGCGCATAGCTGGTACTTCTCTCTCACGCTACGATCACCGGTGATTTCGATTATCGAATCTATCTCGTTGTAGGTCTTCCTCGCGTAATTATGAGCCTTGTTGATCATTGTTCTAGCCAGCGTTTGAATGTTGGACATGTCCACACGAGGATCGGACTCGAGAGTGCGAAAGCAGAAAGGAGGGTCTCTGGTTTGGAGGCATATCACTTTGATTTCGTCTTCTGTCAGTTTGGCTGTTGAAGGTGTAACGAGTGAAAAAAGAAACAACAAGGAGAAGATAATGAAAGGCAGAGAAGCCATGTTCGGTAGGTATTTTGGTGAATAAACAAGCTTTGGTATATATAAATAGGAGATGAAGACTGTTTGGATATCAAGTGCAGAGATTAAAGAAAATAGGCGTTATTTCTACGTTAAAGGAGGTTTACAATGAAGTTTTTGTCAGTTAATTCTCAGATCAGTTTCTTCATGAATGTTACAAATATGTGTAAAGATATATGTATATAGAATTAGAATATGACGAGAAGCGAAAATAAGGAGTAGATGAGAAAGCAAGCATAAGCAACGAGGCCACGGTGTTCATCCCACCGGCCGACTTCGATCAGGAGTTTAGTGCAAACTCGAGTGGACCAGATCACAAAAATGGCGGCGATGACGAAGATGGCTACACCAGCTTGAGGAAGGAACAAGGAGAGAACCGATAGAATCACCATGGGAAGCATACAATAGCCCAGCAAGCTCACGCACCTGTGCAAATCCAGAGTCCCATTACGACCTGCGAGCATGTTGAACACAACGTACAGGAAAAGCGCCGCCACCGTCACCCACCCTAAGATTATCCCGAAGTGGATCTTCCCCGCCAGTAATTGGAACAATCCAAAAGCCATTAATAGTAGAAACGGACCCGATAGATCGGCGTCATCGTGTAGATTCGGGTTTATGCGGACCGGATTCAGGATCGAGCTTGTTTTGTTCCAGATTTGCCTCGTGTTGATCCCTAGTTCTTCCAGCAGAGGCGGTTCGTCGAACACGTTGGTGTTCGAACTGACGTTGCTGCTGATCGACGTCGACCCGAATTCCAAGGACGTGAACGGCGTCGGCGCGGCGGACCCGACGTCGAATGACATGAAGGAAGTGGTCTTGGAGTTTCGGGGCTGAAACGGCGCCATTGGACGGCGTTGTTTGAGGCCGGGATTTCCGCCGGACGGAAAGACCACACAAGGGACGTTGAATTCCTTCGACATTGATTCACTTTTTTCTCGGGAAATTCTCGTGAGGGAGAATGAAATTAAGAATGAAATTGTGATCGGCAAGAAAGAAAACTTATAATGGCAGCTATTTCTCGATAAAACTGGGTACCTTCATGAGACGAAAATTCTCCAGGAGGGAGAATTTTTTGAATGGAAACGAAATTAAAACTGGAAAGAACGAGGGCTTCAATAATAATAATTCAGAGAAAGTAGAAGTTATAAGTTGAGTTCAAATAGCTGGGGAAGTTTTATTTCAGAGGGAAAATATTAAGAATTCGAAGTGCAAAAACTGGGAATCAATCGAATGAAACTTTTATGGAGTGAAATGAATTTTTCAAGGCAAGAGAAAAATGTGGCTTTAAGAGGAATAGTGAGAAAAATAGAAAGGTTAGATCCTGCTTGCATGAAATGAAACCAATCTTTTAAGGTAGTTATTGTTTATCACAGACACGGAGACTTTGAACCGTAAAAACAGTTGCGACTCTGCATAACCGCCATTGCTTTCCCTAAACAGAGGGTCTGGTTTCGGTGCTAACAATCCTGGTGAGCACTGAGCGCTGAGATTTCGATCGGCTATGTGGTTCTGATTTAAAGTTTTATTTTTATTTTTTAAATAAAAATTATAATTTTTTATAAATAAAATTTTTAATAAATCCACTTTATTACCAACTTGAGAAATATAATTTAATCTAGTTAGTTTAATTATATATTAAAAATTTTATAATTTTTATAAATTAATTACTCAGATATACTTTGTATATAACCTAAATTGAATATTAATTTTTTAAAATTTTTGTTTTGGTGAATATAATATTAAAAATAAAGATAATATTCAAATAAGCATTTTCAAAAAAAATATTTTTAAAAAATTATTAATTAAAAATTTTAAATCTAGACTGTTCAAACTTCAAAATATATTTAAATAAGGATAAATGTGTATTTTTATCTCAAAAATATTTTTTGAGAAACACCCAACATCCTAACATTTTTGTTGAAATAATTTTGCCCACGAAGTTATTAAAACAAAGTATTTTAGTCATTTCAATCAAAATTTTAATAGTGAAAGTTGAAAATTTGATAGAAAGAGCAAAAATTTCTATTTTAATAACTTTTAAAGATAAAATTATTCTAACAAAAATGTTAGGATATTAAACGCTCCTCAAAAAATACTCTAAAAACAAAAATGCACCTTTATGCTTTAAATAATTAATTTATAAAATTTTAAAATTTTAAATATTAAATTAAATCATCCAAGTTAAATTTATATAATTTGAATCGATCATAAAATAGGTTTATTAAAAATTTATAATTTTTATTTTAATAAATCCTTTAAATCTAGACCCTTCAAATTAAAATTTGGATGGTTCATATCTAAGCATCCTTATGGTGCTCTAGGGTGCTTAGAACCAAAACCAAACCGATTTGGGACAATGTGATTATCTCTTTTTTAATTATTATTCAATAAAACAATGAACCCATGTGATCAAAATTTCTAGTACTCTTTTTGATTAAAAATATAATGAAATCAAATCTTACCTTTCAATAAAATAGTTACTTATCTTCAAATTAACACTATCTTTTTAAATTTATCCCTATTTAATAGTGTTTTACTTTGAAATAATATCAAGTGATTTTTTATTATGATACTTAAAAAAAAATACAATGATTACATATTAAAATGCTAAAAATATTTATATTTTTTAACATTTAATATTTTAAAAAATACTTTATATTTTTTAACAAAGAGAGTATATGTTTGGTGTAACATCCTTCAATATATATATATATATATATAATATTGGATTCCTCTCAAATTTTTAAAAATTCACTGTCCCCTTGTATTTTGCATAATATTAACCTAAATATTATGTATTTAATTCTCCTGTTTTGGTTAAAAAAATTGTGGGCATCCATACCTACTATGTAATAGGTGATTAATTTTGTGTAAATATAATAAATTTATTTATTATAGTTTTTTCTATAAATTACTAATATTTGCAGCTTTAAACTCTAGCCATTTTTTTTAATAATAAAGTGGTTCTTAGTCACCTTTCTCATATTTAAAGCTACTGTTACATGTAGGAGATAGAGAGATTGGTTAAACTTTGGAAAGAAAGAGGAGAGAAGTGAGGCTTGCTACACATGAAGGGAAGAAAGAATTGACATAAAATAATGTTAAGAAAAAATTTCAACCTTCTAACCAATTAAACCTCCTCGAGGGGGGTTATATTTGTGATATCAAAGCATGATTTCTGTTATGGCTACTATGACTTCTATCCAACTTTGTACTGTGAGAAAGTATGTGGGAGAATATTGATAGTACTTATATATTTATATTGTTTACGTTTATAATATTTTAATTTTCATTCTTTTTGGCATGGATAAAATAATTAATATTAAGACCGATCACTTTAATATTCACTGCTTTACTATGCAAAAAGAAATGGTTTCAAGTTAAAGAAGTAATCATAGTAACAATAACAACCATATAACAAATGATTTGGTTACACTGTTGAAAGGATGATTGCTTAAATGAATGCACAAGAAAAAGAAAACTATTGCTATTAATGAACAAGTTATTGCCACTGCTCAATTAGTATAAATGTTTTAAGAAAGTCAGGATGAAAACATAAGTTTTATTGATAGAAATTAATCACCTGCTATGAAATTCTAAAATTTTGTCAACCTAGGGAAGGAGAAGGCTTGCTGCACGTGAACACAAAAAAGAGTTGACATAAAGTAATATAAAGAAACAAATTTCAACATTCTAACCAATTAGGGGGAGGGTTATATTCGGTTATTGGAATAATATAATTTAGTTTTTATAGCTCTTAAAAGTTTATTTTATAATTCAATTCTAATAGTTTATTGACTTAAGGAGTTTTAAATTAAAGTAAAATAAATTAAATAAATAATTGAAAATAAATTCAGAAACTAAAATTTATATTTTCCCAGATTTTTGTTCATGTATTGTACTCTCATAGGTTGCGGATTTTTTTTTTAAATATTAGAATTCATAAAATTTTAACTAAAATGAATTAAGGAGGACAAACATAATTATCAATGGCGCCTAATCATGAATTGAAAAGAATTATCTTTGATAAGAAGATATTAAGAGTAATTAATCTTTTGATCATTAAAGTTTTGACTCACTTAAAACTCAATTTTTAATTTTAATTTAGTGTAATTTAATTCTTAAATTTTTAACCTATATATAATTCAGTTTTTAAACTTTTTATCATTTCTAATTTTATTGTGTCATCCATAACTCATATCGTTAAAAAATTATTTATGTGGATAATATATATATATATATATATAAATATATATAACAAACTGCAACTACTGATCTATGTCCTTCATTACTCGCTCACTCACCTTCTTCTCCATTTCCTCTTTTTCTCTCACATTTTGCAGTTGCTAGGCGGTCTCTCTATACAAGAAGAAGGGAGTTGGGAATCATATAAACAATTTTTGACATTTTTTGCCATGTAAAATGACTCAGTGCAGAGTCATGGATGATTAGAATGAAATTATAAATGGTGAAAAATTTGAGAAAATTAAAAAATTTAGGAATTGGATTGTACTTGATTATAATTGAGTAACCGAGTTTTAAGTGAGTAAAATTTACCAAAATATTAATTTTACCTTATCAAAATGCACTAGCCCAGAATATAATTATCTTCAATTGAGGTCCCAAAAGAAAAATTATCTTCAAGCTACGTACCCGACTCAAGTGCAGTCTGAGGCAATGTTTGAGGTATCAGAACGTTGATAGTCATTGCCGAAGCAGCTGAACTGAGCTTTCAGAAACCACCGTGAGGAAGGAGATGGCAGCGATGGCTTGGCCGCATATACTTCACTCTTCTCCGATGCTTAGACCCTCCTTGCTCCTTCGAAAGCTCTCTCACTCCCTGTACTCGTCCTCTCTATGTTCAATCCCTTGCAAAATCTCCACAACTCGTCGCTTCTGCTCTAACTTCGATTATGTTCCCCAGGTGCCCCTCTGTTTGTTTGATTTTTAATCCATGTATTACAAAATTTGCTTCTTGGTTTTAGTTAGTTTTGTCAAATCTAGTGTTCGTCGCTGGCGAGTGAACCAGGCGTCTCCATAGTTGGTGATCTTCTCGATTATTTAAACGAGTCCTGGACACAATTCCATGCTACGGTAATCTAATTTCTCTTTTTGTTGTTCTTGTTCTTATGTGTTCAGGCGGAGTACTGGGCTGTGTTTATTTATTTTCGACTTTTTTTTTTAAAAATGTTTATTTTGCATTGCACTACGTCATTTCCCGTCCTAAGTGGGTTGGCGTCACGGAGAAAATCGCACAATTAGCGAATTCATAACTTAGTAAACGGCTATTTCAACCTCTGGAGGTGTCTCTGTTCTTGGGCTCTGTATTATCGTTTGAATTACTTGACTTTTATGGTTCGGGAACTTTGGGGCAAGAACTACCAGCTCAATAGAAGCCCAGTTCGAGCTTGGAACATTTATAACATGTCATCATAACTATAGTTAAAGTAGAAATTTGTATACTCAATGTACCGCTATATTGTCAACTACCAGACTAAATGCATGTCTTATATTACGGTTTCATTTAGAACTTTTATTTTTCCTGCAGCTGAAGCAAAACGAAAATTAATTGCTGCTGGTTTTCATCTGCTAAATGAGAATGAAGAATGGGACCTAAAGCCTGGTGGACGCTACTTTTTTACTCGAAATATGTCTTGCATAGTTGCTTTTGCTGTTGGTGAAAAGTGAGTGAAAATTTCATTGGTTGGAAGTATTCATCTTCGAATTATCGCAGGCTTCTTGGATAAATTCATTTTTGTTTTTTCTGGTTTATAATAGAAACATTACCAGAAACGCTGACACTATAAAATGAAAAACAATGGGCATTCTCTTTTCTGTGTTTTTAATTTTCTTTATTTCTACTGATGTGCAACTAATTGTTTTCCATACTTTCTAACTTGCCCTTTGAATATGGCTATAGATATTAGGAATTTAATATATTTGTACTTGTCACTTTTGTTTTTTTTTTTTGGGACAATGTACTCCTCTTGTTTTAAAATGTCCATTAACTTATACTATCTCTTTTGCAACTTGAATGTGTGTGTGTGTGTGTGTGATGGCCATTCATCTTCTAATTGTAGGCAAGTTGAGTGGAAAAATATTGATTAAATGTTTCTTATTTTTGCAGATATAGTGTTGGCAATGGTTTTCATGTCATAGCTGCACACACAGACAGCCCATGTCTAAAATTAAAACCCAAATCAGCATCATCCAAATCAGGCTATCTGATGGTTAATGTGCAGACATATGGGGCTGGATTATGGCATACGTGGTTTGATAGAGATTTGAGTGTCGCTGGGAGAGTCATTGTGAGAAGTAGTGGTGACACTTATTTGCACAAGCTTGTCAAAGTGAAGAGACCTCTTCTACGGATACCAACACTTGCCATTCATCTTGACCGGTCTGTTGCAACTTTGCATTTTGTCTTTGTTACTTCATTCCATTAGGATTGCAACTTGAATAGCATTTATATTCTTGCAATGCGATCATTTTGTGTAGTCAAATCTTCATTTCGAGTGAATTTTTCATACTAGGTTGTATCACCACCTTTAAGATTTAATTACAGGAAATAAAAAACTTTTATGGCACTTATGGTGGGTAAATCAACCCTTTTCAATACTCCATAAAGCATTGATGTGAAACAATGACATCCAATATTACCTTATATCCTCAATCAAGGAGGGCCAAGGTCCTAGTAGTTACACTCTATGACACTTCACTTGGCTTTCCTACAAGTTAGAACTCTTTGTTGGTAGTCCTTTTGGGAACTGTTGAGGCACTGACCCCTATCTTTGATACCAATTAATTGGTATCCAATTTGAATGGAGCAATATTCCCCAAAAGCTAGCAATTGAGGTTGAAGAACCTCAAGGGAGCCACTTAAATATTTGATAGAGTATCCTATATTACTCATTGTGAAATTTAGGCATCTCATACTACCTTGGTCTCCATCCTGCACATTTTAAAATGGGTGTGAAGTGGCCTAGGGTTTTTTTTTTTTTTTTTACCCCCTTCCCTTTTTCCCCATTTGGCGTTAATTTTCAGCAATAAATATGGAATGTTGATTCCATGAACCTCTCTGTTTGTTTTATTGTTTAGCACAGTGAACCAGGATGGTTTTAAACCAAATCTAGAGACTCACTTACTTCCGTTACTTTCAATGAAACTCGAGGAAATTTCTGATTCAAAAGAGAAGACTGCAATATCCAAGGTTGCTCATCATTCACTGCTTATGGAGGTAATTCATCATTTCCTATGTTGGAGTTGAACATAAAATTTATTACTATGGTAAGGGCTTGACGAAACTAGCAGAGCATGAAAATTCTTGCCAAATGGGCTCAAGACAATGTTTGTTGACACTTGCAAAGGACGTTGGCAGAAGATTTTGTCTTCAACTGTTAGGCGTTGGATTTATGACTGGGGACTCCTTTTGGGTCGATAATTAATACTCAGGAGAGAGGGTTACTTGGAGTGGTACACCTTCTTAGTTAGATTACCTGAGTTCCCTTTGCCCACCAAGAAGCTAGTAGGTTTTGCTTAGATGTTTTGGAATATTGTTAAGAGAAATTAATTAACCATGGATTGCTAGGTTTTACATTCGTATGGTTGGTTACTAAATGAAAATTGCTGTGTGTGTGGGTGTTTAAAAAAGGGGTTAAAGGGAAAATTTATCTTGGAAGTTTTTTGTGAGATATAACTAGTATCCTTAAATTTTGATTGGCACAATATTACCTTGGGAGTTTCACAAATGGTGCAATTTCACTAAGAAGTAACGTTTGACTAGCATTGATAGTTAGTTGAAAATTCTAGCTTGAGGTTTTGAACAATTTTGCCCTTGGAAGTTTTTCTAAAAGTGCAATTGGTATCCTAAACTTTCTATTAATGCAATGTTTTTGGGTTAATGTTCAAATCAGAAGAAAATTCAATAACCCATTATCATTGTTAAAAATAGTTTATATTTCTAGATTTTGAGCTAAGATTTTGCTCAGGGATGCTTTGACGTAGAATCAACTCTACCCCGAACACTCCACAGACTTTCTCTTGAAGTTCTGACTAGCCTTTATTTTGCCCATGAGCATTTCAACTTGCATATGCTTAAATATAAACTGTTCAAACCTACCCAGTGGACAACATAAACTAGCCTAGATTTGGACTTAGAGGCGTTCAATGTAATTCTACGTAAAATCTTCTTTTGATTTTGGGTTATAACAAGTTGAATTTTTCTTTTGATTTGAAATTTGATAACCTAAAAACATTATGACAATCAAAAGTTTAGGATATAAATTACTCCTTCAGACAAACTTCCAGGGCAAAATTGCCCTTTTAACATTCAAAATAACAGTCAACATTGGTCAAACGTTGTTGTAGGGAGACATTGCACCATTTTTAAAAGTTCTAGGGTAGTATTGCACCAATCAAAAGTTAAGGATGCCAGTTGTACCTAGCAGAAAACTTCCAAGGCAAATTTGTCCTTTAACCCTAAAAAACAGCTTCCATCTGGTTAATTTGTTTAGAGGCAGTCTTTAAGCCTCATCCTTTCCAAAATCTTCTTTATGTTAGTTGTCAATATGAATGAGGAGCTAAGTTTTCAAAAGTATCTAGCCCTTAGCAGGTCTCCTTGGAATTGTTTTACTTCCTCTCTTGCTTTATTATAAGCTTCATGAAGTTGATGGGGATAATATATCTAAACCCTTTTTTGATATCAGACAACCTGGCACTTGTTAGTTGTTACACAAAGCTCTCATGGAATATTACATCTGAGCATCAACTTCTCAAGCAGTCCATGTACTCTGACACATCTAATAAATTATCTGTTAATGTAAACGTAGCTTCTTTCATCTCTGCTGGTTGTCATTATTTACAAGAATCCTTGACTTTTACTTTCAGGTTTTGTCAGATGAGTTGAATTGTCAGGCTGATGACATAGTGAGTGTTGAACTGAATGTTTGTGACACTCAGCCTAGCTGCGTTGGAGGTGGAAACAATGAATTTATATTTTCTGGAAGATTAGATAATCTTGCTTCAAGTTATTGTGCCTTGAGGGCACTTATTGATTCATGTGAATCTCCGGGCGATTTAACCAATGAGCATGCAATACGAATGGTTGCTTTGTTTGACAATGAGGAGGTAGTTTTTCTTCTTCCATTAATTAACACGTTTTAAGTTGTGTACAAATTTGATATCATCCTTTTCTAGTAAATTGGATTCTAAAAATGTCTCAAATATCCATTATTTTCACTTTAAACATGTTTGAGTTTGCCTTCTTCCAACCATACAGTTACTCTGTAAGTCTGTAACATATGGAATGTCCCTAAATTCTTAATATTTGTAAATGCCACTTTAACGTTGGAAACTTCTGGACAAGATCAACCCTTTTCTAGTACAGCACTTGCTTTGTTGCAAATAAAATATTTTGTTGTTCATCTCTGATTGCAATGTCTAACTGCTAAAATTTAGGTGGGTTCAGGTTCTGTTCAAGGAGCTGGTGCACCTACCATGTTTCAGGCGATGAGACGCATTACAAGTGGCTTAACTGATAGCCATGTTGGGGAAGGCTCTTTTGAGCGCAGCATTCGCCAATCATTTCTGGGTATAATGTCATGTTTGTCAAATAACTTCTGACAATTTTCTCCATGATTCCATCTTTGATTACTCTTTCAAGTTTTTTTGAGTATTTGGTGAAAGACAATTACAATATGTCATACAGTTCGATGCCATGAACTTAGTACAGGTTTATTGCAAACACAATCAAGTGTCATGCAATGTAGGTGGACTGGAAAGTCATGGATTTAGACTGGGAATTGAGTTGTTTAAAGATTATCAGTAATGATATTTGGCAAAACAACACTTCTGTTTGGAAAATTTTCTGTCGCTGTTAGTTGCATGTAATTACAATTTGAAACTAGCTTCACCTTACAGTCACACTTCCTCAACTATCATGAGATTCAAAGTGAAGATTATTTGGGAAAAAGAAAAACAATGAGGAACTTGAGAAGTTTTGGGTTTGAATGGAAATGTGCAGATCAATAGGTTCCACATGATTCAGAAATTTGTCATCCACTAAGATGTTATCTTTTGTAACACAGTTATCATATTTATTAATAGCAAAGCACACTTGCCCTCTTTATCAATGAAACTTTTGTAATAACCAGGCAGACATCTCAGCTCCCGTCACTAATGCTACATCGTACCAAGCCGCATAATTATCTTCAGACACAAAATAATTTTTATCAACTATTTTACTCTTCATGCACCTTGAGAACCAATCATTTATTTCTTTCATCAATCTCTTTAATGAGATTTAGTCAATGGTATGAGTAGAATTAAGTCTCTTTATCAAAGCCCTATTATATTTAATGAGTACTTAATCATTCACTCTTCCAAGGATGTGTTGAGTAAATTTTGCAGCATTCTTTGTAAGATCACTTAAATCAAACACACTTGACATTGTCTGGAACTAAAAGCCATAGTGTGCTACTAGTGACCGTGCTATATGTATGTATGTATGTATCAATGATATTCCCTGCTTTAATTAAGCATATATGCATGAATAATGGTATTTATATTATTTCTAATCTATGAACAATAAGTATCCTAGATTTGTTGTTTAATCTAACTTTAAAGATGGGACTGCTAAAGCATCTTTCGTATTCTGTCTCTAATAGTGTCTGCAGACATGGCCCATGGGGTTCACCCAAATTTTACAGAAAAGCATGAAGAACATCACCGACCTGAATTGCAAAAAGGACTTGTTATTAAGCACAATGCAAATCAGCGCTATGCTACTAGTGGAATAACATCTTTTCTTTTTAAAGAAGTTGGAAAAATCCATAACCTTCCAACTCAGGTGAATTCATCTATGTCTAAAGTTGTTGATAAGTTTCATAATTTCTTAACGTAAAGCTTATGCACATACTGTCTGTCCTGACTCACTCTGAATTATTTGAGCCAATATGTCTTGCAAAAACCAATTGTTATATCCCTAAAAAAGAGTACCAAAGCCAAATGGAATTCTAGAAATGAGACATCCTGGACTCATTGGCCTGAAACTCAAGATTATTAGTGTTTACATGAATTTGCTTTTGTCATATGTTTTTCTTCTTGGTACATTTTGAAAAGAATTTTCCTTATAATTAGATTTGGCATTCAGCCATTAAAGCTATGGCGTTTGATTCATCTGACGAAAATTCTGGCTCTTACTTTCGTCTTGGTATGTTAGAAGGTGGCAGGGTCTTCTTGCATTTGCTTTTCTGTGCAAAAATGATTTTATTAAAAATTGTAATTTGAGAGATCTGCCTCTCTCAAATGCACAACATTTAAGCAAGGTAGGATGATGTCGTCTTGTGTAGGTAGGTTCTTAGTCTTGTCAGTGTGGGGGGATCTTTCCCTAGATTGATCCAAGACTTTTTGTTGTTTTGTGTCCAATTATTTCATTCTGGAGTCTCGTTGGCCAAGCAGGATCCATCTTCATTTTGGCTTTTGTATATGTTGATTTAGTTCCCCTGTTTTTTGATCAAGTTAAATCTTTGCCGTAACAGTGTTCTGTCTTTAGTTGGGAAGACTGAAGTTTGTCAAGTAGAAATTAGGAGTCCATAATTGAGAACTTTTTTGTGATACTAGATTAGGATTATGAAAAAGGGGGTGCTTCAAGAGCTTATGGTTTTAGATACTGAGATATCAGGGTTTTGTAGAGGACAATAACCAATAGGTTAGCATGAAATTGATGAGATTTCTATTAACAAGGATATTAGTTGGCAACAGAAGAGTGGGAATAAGTGGGTAAAGGGAAGGAAATGCTGATTCTCAATGTGACAAATGGTAAGACAAGAACTTTGCATAATGAATCGGAGGCAGAGAGATAAGTGTTAGGGGTAACGTTACAATATCAGAGGAATAAACACAGTTTTATTGACAGCTTTATATTGAGGAAGTCACAGACCTTTCTTTGGGAGATTAGATTAATGTCCTATTGCTGATTCTAGGGCTTTTTGGTCAGAAGGGCGTTTTGATGATCATGTTAGAAGTGTTATTTGAATGATGGATAAGAAGGCCTTTGATAGAGATTTCTTCTGCCAAATCTCTGGGAGAGAAATTTTTTGTCCTCTGTGTGGCTTTCAGCAAATGGTAGTAGTTTCAGAGGTTTTTTCTAGTGTGGATCTTCAAAGAGATTGGAAGGCTTTCTTATGTGGATCTTATGAAGTATTCTTTGAGCTTCCCCCTTTGTCTGAAAGCAAGTTTCTAAATCATTGAGGCAATTGAGTCATGTGCCTTTTCACTTGCAGGATGGATTGATAATATGACATCTGTGTTTTCTTTGTTTCCCATTGAGTGTCGTACTTAATTGAAACATACGATAGTTAATATTTGCCCTTCTTTAATGTAGGAATTTGTGGTTAGAAATGACATGGGATGTGGATCGACCATAGGTCCCATACTTGCATCTGGGGTTGGCATCCGAACTGTTGATTGTGGAATTGCTCAACTTTCAATGCACAGGTATCTCTGTTCAATAAAAAACACATGTATCAAATGATTTTGCATCAATTTATAAGCATAGTATATAAGATTTTGAGAGACTTTATCATATGTAATCAGTAGCTTTGTAAATAAGAACTTCCAGCATTCTTTTAGATGTACATTATAAAGGAAATATACTTGTCGACCTCTGAAAGTTAGATAAATCAATTTCTGGCCCCTGATTCTTAGAAATATGCAATCAATATTGAACAGTACAGGTTTAACTCCTTGGTCCCATGATATTATAAATACACGATTTAATCCCTAGAAGTATTGCTTGTTAATCCCTGGACCATGTCTTGATGGGGAGAGCTAACGAATAAGGAGTCAAAAAATATACGACCTGAAACGTATTTTTAATATTCAATGACCAACTAATTGAGGCATGCATTTTTTGGGAATTGAATTACATATTTATAAGATTCAATGACCTAATAAATGATGTATGTTTCTTTCAGAGATAAAAAATTACATTTCCACCACTTTATATTCAAGGGAAAATGTGCTGTGTACCTTCATCTCGCTGTACAGCCATGTGCCATTTATTTAAATATGGTCGTGTCATGCATGAAATGGCTTAAGGTGTCAGGCAATGAACTATACTGTTTTTACTTCATCTAAATCAAGTAGGATACTTGTTGGTACTATTTATACTTCAAGAATGCTGATCCTTCACTTCTAATTTGTATGACATCCGTCACTTGAATTTGAGAACGAAGTACTTGTTTTTTATTCGTGACCAATTTTGTTCCCCTTAAGATTTTGTGTATTCTCATCATTCCTTGCATATTTCATGCTGGAAAAGAAGGATGCTGCTTTCTGTAGCAATCAATCTTTGCTCCAAAAAGTTGTCGGTATGCAGATCCATGACTATAATCCTAACTGTTATCGATCTTCTAATTGCAGTGTGAGAGAAATATGTGGAAAGAAAGATGTGGACATAGCTTACCAGCATTTCAAGGCTTTCTATAAAACCTTTTCAAGCATAGACAAGACGATCAGCGTGGATTTCTGAGTTGGATCTCCTTGGTACCATGACATTATCATGAAAGAGTTCCACTTCACTTCTGACTACCGAGTTCAAAAGGTGCCCTGTCCACGACTCCATTAACCCATCTGACCCGGTGGGGAGCTGGTAATGAATCAAAACTAAGCATTTTTTTAGCTCCATTTTACTTCAGTGTCAGTTCCGGCAATAAAGCTTTGATTGGCATTATTGAAGCATTTGTATTTTATTTCTTATCTATTCTTTTTATCGGATGATGTAGTAGTTCTGCAAATAAGTTAAACATCACCTACTCAAATGGCTTCTGAAATATAATTGGGATTTAATTTAGACTTCGTGCATGTCTTGATATTCATGGATGAGAATTTGACAAGAAGGATAATTAATTACACACGTTTTGAACTTGAAGGACGCTTTTTTTTTTGAGGGTGCATTAGAAGGACGCTTTCAATCTGTATATAAGATAAAGGGTTAAATTGTCAAAAGTTCTACAACGATCTAATCAACAGTTCCTGGACTACTAATGATGCAGTTTAGCTGATGTTGGACTTACCATCCCATATTACCATATGATAAAACTTGATTTTAATTACAAGATTGGAGAACAGGGACAGATTAAACCGTGGGCTACTTGGTTATATAAATGAAGTATTACTTTATCCCAAATTTGATTAAGGAAATATATTGATTATATTAATAAAGTAGATTAAATGGGTGTACAATAAGTGAATACCAAACATCGAGACACGGGGAAAATGACTAAAAAGAGAAAGATAAAGTCTGTAATATCCCTCGTCCTGTTTTAATTTACAGGAGGACAGGTATTTTTTTATCACCAAAATGATCAAACATGACTTTGCTGTGAACATCAAATGTCATTATTACAACCACTAGTGATTCAAATTCCATCCAATGATGTCAACAAATGAATGGATAAAACGAGATAAGCGAAAATGCATGGATTCACCCCACACATGCAAACCAAACTTGAAAATTCAATTTTTTTCACCGCGCACTGACTGAAAAATATCCTTCCCTTGAAAAATTATTTTCCTTGATGAGGTAACAACTAAAAGCACGCAGAACCCAACCATAACAATCATACATAAAATGACCATTAACGAAAAGTTTGCGACTAATAGACGACAGATATTCAAATGAATGGCAAAACGCAAGTTAAATATACAATCAAACATACAGAAAAGTCCGCCATATATATATAGTACATGTTTAGGATTATTCACCAGGCTACTGTAATGTCTATAATTGGCAACTGAAGCTTGAGCAACTCCAGCCAGGCGAGCATCAAAGCTCCTGCAACGCAACAGCAACTAACCTGCCAAGCTCTTTTACTGCAATTCCTCGAGCGCTGAAGGTAGCTGAAGTTTAAAGGAAAAGAGAAAAATTCATTAATGCTCACCTCTAGAAAATTTCAGAGGGCAAAAAATTGCAAATGTATTTTATAGTAATGGGAAGAAATAGCAGTCAGAATATATACATTAGTACAGAAAGTGGTAAGATAAGTGGCTGGACATCATCTTGTGATTATTGCCTTCTTTTCCAAATTTTAAGATTTAAAAGTCATTAAAACAGCTTAATCGGTCTGGAAGGTACTCTTGTGCGATTAACAGGCCATACCTTCATCCAACTTAAGCTTATACTTCATCAGCTCTCAAAACATCTTCAACTCATTCTTCATCATCAAGCAATAAATGAGCTCAAAATAAGTTGAATATCCTAAGGGAAATCATGAGTCATTTAAGGTGCAAATCGCATCCTTGTTCAACCGAGCATGGAAAAATGGATCAATTGTGGTGGTCCAGAATTTCAAGTCCATTCCAGTCCAACTCGGCCAACATGCCTGCACTCCAGTCAGCTTAAAGTGAATATGAAGCTAAGAAAGCCCATCATCTTACACCATAAAGCTCTGGCTGATTGGGTGCAGGCATGGCCCAAGCCCCTCACCGGGGCCGGGCCAATCCAAAACTTGCATCAGGTGGTTGTTGATGAGGCTGCAGAAGCAAGTATATAGTGATCAGAATAAGACCCAGATGATAATTTAAAAATCAATGATATTATGAAGCATATCAGATATTTAATTGATCCAAACAGATGCCTACAAATTGACAAAACCTTACTCTAATTTGTCATGACTGATGTATATCCTGTCCAAAATAAATTACTATCCTAAAAAAGAGTTCCCTTCAAACTGAGATTTCACTGATAAACTCAAATGGGGCTTAATCAATTTAATGTACAAAATATGAGGAACAAAGAAGCCTAGATAAAGCATGGTTCATATATGCATAAGCTGCTCTTGGTGATACATAAACACGCTGACATAGCTGGGCATGCACTTTGCCAAAACATGAGATCGAATACAACCAGCCCTAAGTTGGACACCTTGGGCCTTGCATACCTGTGCAAAGGGCTGGTGAATATGTTCGTGATGGATAAAAGGCATTCCAGGGCGCTGACAAGGATACTGAGATGAATGCAAGAACATAGTTGATGAGGAGTGTGCACCAACTTGATTGGGACTGAATGGCGACAACATGGGTTCTGGATGTCCATACCCAATACCAGCAGGTGTTGATGGAGCTGCCCATGGTCCAGGTAGGTGCTGAGGAATTGGCCGCGGTTGGTGCTCATTAGAAAGTTGAGGTCCATGTGTAGATCCAAGCTGTGGAAACTCAGTGTTGTAGTTCAACACAGGCGTATACATTGGCTGAATGGCATATGACCCTCCATTGAACCCAAACCCAGGATCAAATCTTTGCATGTACCTGATGCAAGTGAAAATAAAAAAATAAGTCAACCAAACATACAGGACATAACAACTTTCATTTTAGTGGCTTCCAACTATTCTAAAAACAAATCTTGAAAACTTGAAAACAACATATGTAAGCATGGATCTACAAGCTTAATAGCACAATTTTATTATACCTCAGGATTTGTCTCAATTCCACTAAAGGTATGGATGTAATGCAACCAGTCAGCAGATTTTGCATCATCTACTTTTGTATACCATGAGGCTGATTAAAGTTAGGGCTTCAATGGACAGCTGACCTATGGTGACTAACGCTACTTTTGGTCCAACTGTAGCAAGTCCCAATTTTACGCTAGGACTACACTGACTTGCTTGGTTCACAGTAGATATTAACAATATTAATGATTATTGATTTGGCCAAATTATCCCCAAGTTAATACTCTCCACACAATTGTAGCTATTCTCCTCCATCAAAACTCAGCTTTAATCTATCTACCATGTATGCATAACCTTTACCCTTATTAACTTTTGGATTTGTCCATGGAACACATTTCAGTAACCTTAACCTAAATAAAGGAAAGGACAAGTGCAAAACCGCAGTTCATTCTGATCCACGAGAGACCAGAATTCAGACCAGTTCTTCATGTATCTGGAAGGCATTATGCAGCACCAAATTGCATGCTTTCTTAAAAACCATATAGATATTTTCTAAGTTTAAAACATACTTAAAGACAACCTATAAAATCTGGAACATATAAACTCTAGAAGGAATCAGTGACTATGTCAAGAGTATAAGATATCTCCTAAAAAAGAACATGGATGATTTCTAAGATAAGCATGCATTGTTGAAGCATCAAGAACGGGTATGAGAAGTAATGACGAAGGAATTTGATATAACAAACAAACAACTACATGGACAAATTGAATTTTTACTGCATAATTTGTGGCTGGTTAACTGGTAGTACATCAGACGCTAAGATAAACTAGACAAAAAGCATGTGTTCAGGATCCTTGATCACATAGGTCAAGAAGTTCATGAACAAAAAGCACGGGCTCAACAGCAAGTACTCACCTAAAAACATCAAATAATAAATAATAAAATCCAATGCCTACGAACAGCTTTGAAGAGATGTCAATTTATTCACATCTAAGGCCAAATAGCTTTTGTGTGCGTGTGTGTGACAATACAATGGCAAGTAGAAGATGTACCTATCATAGCTTCTATCATAATCAGGATCCTTGCGGTCAGTCTCACGATCCCGGAAAATAGCCACCCTATTACCTTGTTTGTACCTACCAGCTGGCTCCTTCTCTGCTGCCCTACTTCTAGCCCTACTGCTATTTGTTGAACACTCAACCAGCCCCCTTCCATAGCTTGCATCAGATACGGAAGGAGATTTATCTTCCACTCTAGAAATTCCTACGGAAACAGGCAAAGGGTTATCATGCTGCCTTGCCTCACATTCAGGTTTCCCAATCACATTACTAGCATTGCTGCCAGAATTAAATATCCTAGCACGAGCCCTATTATACTCCTCTTTCCTTTCCTCCACACTTTTGGAGTTGTTACTCTTTACCGAACTTGAATTTGAACAACTAACAACCTGTGAATGCTTATGTGGCCTCTGTTTAATGGCAACCTTCATAACTGTGCTGTCCTCTGAAGGTAATTTCACAGGAATGTCAGCAAGACGAATAGAAGGAAGCCGACATTCAGAAGTCTTTCGGACAATTATTTTGGAACCAGACCCATCTGGCAAACTATTATCCAGTAAAACCATTGACTGCAGTGAATAATGCTGAGCAACCCGGTGTGCAGCCAGCCGTAAATATGAAGTAGGCAGCTGCTGAAACTCAAGCTGCTGTTGCTTAGGATCCCGGATGAATTTCTCTACATCTTGCTCCATCCTCAAAACTAGATAATTTGAATTTAACAAGCTTTGTCAGATTAGACCAACATATCTTTCTAAGAATATGTATAATGCATTCATAATTCCATAACAAAATAACTAGAGTGGCAACATCAATAGCAATAAAACAAAGTTCAGAAAAACCAATGTAACGAAAGAAAGAAACGAAGAAAAGACAAAAGAACAAGAAACCATCAGATTTAGAACGAGCAATATTTTCTTCGTTTATCCTTAATGTAGGACAAATCAGTCCTTAACTTCAAGAGTACAAATTAAAAACCTGGAACACAGACACCAACACCATGTCGCTAAATTATAAATGAGGAAAAATTCACTATCATTCGCACAAAAAGTGATCACGCCAACAAACATACAGAAAGCTTATAATTTTAAAATATAGTCATGATGCAGCAAGACAACAATCCGCCTCAAAAATAGACCATCTCATGGATACGGAATTCCCATTAATACCCGGAATTTCACACGTGACAACCCCCAACAGGCCCGAACACAAGATCATAAAACTATCCGAATTCATACACATGCTCATAAAACTGTCTTTCTTCGACAAGTACATATGAGCGCCACAGATTCAATATTTAACCATCTATCTCAGGTGCACGTATACACATAACATACTTGACAGCCGTTCGCGAGGGTTCTGAATAGCTTCGCGGAGGAACTGGTCAACCTGGTTGATGAGATCCTCCGAAACCTTCTCTCCAGGCGAGGAAGTGGACGCTGAAGTAGAAAACGACGAAGTGGTCGAGCCGGAGGCAGCTGAGGAAGACGAAGCGTCGAGAGCATCCTGCACCTTGGAGTCTCTGTTGGAGGAAAGCATCAAGCGTCGCATTGACTCGTCCAAATCGGCGGCCTCCCATGACTCCGGGGCTCCGAGATCCTCTGCAGAGCCCTCCATGGCAAGGAACAGGAAATCGTAGGGTTAGAGATTCAGGCGAATTATTAAAGAAGAACCGCGTCAGAAAACGGGATTAACGACGAAACCATAGAATCTTGAAGAGTGAATTTCATGAGGAGATTAAGTTAGGGAGAGGGTAAGGAGTTTAGGACCAAAAGGTAGTGATCAAGAAGAGCAAGGAGGGAGGGAGATAGGGTTTGACGCCGATGAGGTTCCAGAGGAATGAGGATGGCGTGCGCCAGTTACTCTCACCCACGTGTCCTCGCTGTACGATTTGCTTTTTATGTGTCTAGAATTTAAATTTGCTGTAGACGCACAGATCTTCACCCGAAAAACACTTTTACTATCACTATAAATTTTTATTTTAATTAATAATATTACGGTTAATCAGTAGTATTTCCTGAAGATAGTGGCATGGCATATATAATATGTTAATTTTTCAAATATCCAAACATTTTTTAATTTGATTAATAGTCTCTCAATTATATACTAGTTATCCATTTCACCCCACGGGTGGGTCTCATGCATGTACAAACCCAAAAATTCTTATGTTTATGTATTTTAAAGTAATATTGATCAAATAAAATTTCTCAACGTTACTCTTATACAAACACGGGCTACTTTAAAATTATCAACCATTTAACAATCCAACTCACAAATCCCTAAGCATAGTGACATAAACTTATACTCATAGATTGTGGTCAGATTCTTTTTGATACATATGTTATTAAAAAAAACAAGTGCAGAGCATACTTAAATTTTGATATGATAGAAATAAATATTATTGAATCAAGCTTTCAGGAGAGATAATAAATTGTAGAAGAGGAACATAATAGAGAACACGCTGATCTTATTGTTCAAATGAGTTCTAAATAAGTTTTGCCTTACAACATTGCGTAGACTCCTTTTTATAGATGAATGGATGAGGATAAAACGATACACTATTATCGCATGTTTGATTATTATTCTAAAAGCTAAAGTAGACATAATTAAAAGTAAAGATACATTTGATAAAAGAAAAACTAAATTGACTAAAATAGGACAGTTTTATAAAAAAGTAAAAGATATTTTTAACAAATACAAAAGTTATTTAAAAATGATTTTGATAAAAGTAAAGTAGATTCCACGTGAGACTAAAAGTAAGATATCTATTACTTTATATGCTTGTAGATGCTTTCCTGATATGATGACAAGTTGGAGTGCCTCCTTTCTTCTTCCTTGACAAATTCTGTTGAAAGGCTTTCTACCAACTCTTCATCTAGTGACTTTGTCTCTTTGTTTGCTTGTTGGCTAGTTTGTCCTAAGGTGAAAGAGTCTCTTGCTTTAGGAAGCTGCTAACAGAATTGGAATTCTATCTCATAAGGGTCTTGATTGTCTAGAGAAAAAAGTCATGGGTCTTGAGATTTCTGGTTTTCAGTGTTTGTGAAAATTTGATCCATACATGTGGTATATCCTTTTTGGACAGCAATATTAACAACCCATTTAGGCATTTGGTATTGTAAAGCTAAGGATCATTTGGAATAATAAGTTAGAGAGGAATAGTAATGTACACCTAAGATTTGAATTTATGCCTAGTAAATTGTTTAGATCATTTAAAAAAACTTTTTAACTCAATTAAAACTTGTTTTTTCATGTGATGGCCAATCAGTAGAAGTTTCCATAAGTAAGTCTAATTTGCAATATAGAGGCTCCTACTGCTATCCATATTGTAAGGACGATAAACAATGAAGGAGTAAGTTCTTTGCTTATATAAGGGTAGCTTCCATGAGCCAAAGTCTTCAATAACCTTGTATAATTCCTTGCGCCATCAAGGTAGTGGTGAAAAACCACTCAAGGAATTTCTAAAGATTAGATTCTTCATTCCTAGTCTCACATAGGTAATGATAAACAAGAAACGGTGGAATAACAAATGCACATGCATAAAGGACTGAGAGGGACTAGAGGTACCATATAGCTTCTTATAGAATAAGACCTTTGATGTATGAAATGATTAAGTATAGAGTCTACATATCAAAGAACTTAAGTTATGGGTAGATTTGAGTTTTTTAAAAGAGAAGATAGAACTAATAAAACAAGCTTCTATTAGCTAATCAGCATACTTTTGAAATAAATCTGGCATTTGACTTAGGCAAGAAAACTAGTTTCCTAAGCATGATGTTATGGATGAAAAGAGGTTGGTAGTATGAAGGTGTTACAAGTTGGACTTTTTTTTTAGGTCGAGTGAGATAATCTGCAATGGCATTGTGGTTTATTTTTATATGTCAGACTATAAATTTATAAAGGGCAAACCTGTCCTTCCATCGAAGGAGAGCTTCAGGGAGTATCTTTTTATTCTAGTCAATGATCTTTGGGAAACATGTATTGTCCATTTCTACCACAAAGTGATAGGTGCTGAGATGAAAATTGAATTTCTCTATGCCACATTTCACAGCTAAGACTTCTTTAAAAGCTATGTGATAATGCTTTTTAGAGGATTTGAATTCTCTACTAGTATGACCATGATAGTATCTTTTTTCCATTATCTTCTTCAACAAGTACTGCTCCCCAATAGTCATTACTTACATTAGTTTGTAAAATCTTTTGTCCTTTATCAGGGATTTTTAGAGAAGGATGTTGGCACATCTATTTTAGATACTAGACAGCTTTGGTCTGATTGATTCCCTAACGTAGTGGATTTTTTCACAATAGCCTAGATAGTTGGCTAGTGTGATTTGACACTTGAGAAACAAAATCCATGATATAGTTTGCTATTCTCAAAAATTGTTGAATTTGATTTATGAATAGATTCTTATTTGAAAAGTTCAATGGTTCTTGAGCAATATGTGGGTTGGGTTACTACTGGTTCTTAGGCAATATGTAGGCTGGGTTAATACTGTCTATCTTGAATGATCATACCTAAAAACTCTATTTGGGCTGCACCAATATAGCTTTTTCAGGCTGAAAGCATAATTTCATATTTCTAGATTATTTTAAAGAATTAGACTACTAGGTCTTTATGTTTTGGCTCCATTTTTGAGAATGGTAGCATATCATTAATGTAGATGAGTGTACTGTTGATGATGAGTTTAAAGATACAAATCATGGCTTTTTGAAATAATGATGGGGCAGTTTTAAGCCCAAAAGGTGTAACACCCTCAAATTTACAAATCGATTTTTCGCAAATTATTAATTCAACAAATCATTTTTTTCATTGAACCCTTATCATACCCTTATCATGGTAGAAAAATTTCTACCATGATACATCCAAGACAATATACCACAGGTCTTAAAATATCTCAAAAAAGTAATTAGAACCATGAGGGACAGACAGGATTCTCATGGCATGATATTTAAATCAGGTCATGAATCAAGAGGGACAAACATAATCCTCTTGGTCATATAATTGCATTTAATAAAAAGGATTAGAGTTTACATGTTGTCAAAATAAGAAATGTCCTATATTGGCACAAGATACATTGCATAATACAAAATGAGAGGCAACGTAAAAGATGGTGTCTCATACACCAAAGTTACACCTCTGGTGCTTTCTCGACCGGACTCTCTCCTGTAAAAATATTAACCATGGGGAATGAGACTTAAAAGTCCCAGTAACCAAAAATTAATATGTAATAATGCATGCGGATGTAACTAATCATGTGATTGCTAAGTGGGCAAACAAAACATTTAACCGAACAATACTTTCAAACAAACCGAACAAGTATTTAATTTGCATGACTGCACCTTATATCCTCCTTTCGCCATGCTCGGATGCCAAATCACCCGGCCAAAGGTGAGTTGGACCAAGCGACACGCCACTTATTGGGTCCAATGAGGGCTTACCACGTGGTAATAATTAACCGAATAGAAATTCCCATTAACACCATACATTAAAATACCCTGACAAGTCATGCATCATTCAAATATCCAAACAGAAATATATCCGAACAATAATATCTCATCATGATAAATAAAAAATAAATTTTTAACCCACTTGGCAATGATTTCACGGAAGTATATAACAGTATTTATTTTTAATAATTCATAATTTTTCCAAACAACAAAACAACACATAACCATTCACAAACACACCCATCACAACACATTAATAATGGTTACCTTGTGTCTTGAATAACAAGTTCCCCTTCACAACTCCTTTTTCACCACTATCTTTGTCAATATAATCTACATAATTATTTCACAATACTATATATTAATTTTACATTAAAATAAATAACTCTAATTTAAATAGTTAGAAAATCTTAGATCTATAATCCATATTAACACTAATTTAAGATTTATGTCTCATTTAACTTCCTAAATTCTTTTCTAAAATTCTCGTACCCTAATAAACTATTTTTTTATCCTCAAATCACTTCTAGTATCATAATTTCATCCTTCTATATTCTAAAAATTCGTCCAAAAATAAATTAAATTTTAAAATTATCCTGAAGCCTCAAATCACCTTTCTATAACCTCAAAAATACCTATTCATACTTAAATAAATATTTAATAATCATAGGTTTATCCCTACATCTCAGATTCCACATAAATTCAATCATATAGATCTAGATTTTAACTCAAAAATTCTTAAACATGAGTTTCAACCTCAAGAAAATATTCTATAATATTTATTATATCCCTAAGAGTTTTAACCTATATTTTTAATCCATCATATCATCAGATTAACTATCCTATAGAAAAATCCTAATCAAAATATTTACTCTATCCTACAAAATAATCATATCACTAGAAAGCTAATATTATTTAGAAAATAACTATAAAATTAATTTTTTAATTAAATAAATTTTTAAATGCTAATCTAAACAGGAAAGTTAGAACATACCTGAAGAAAAAGAAAATAATTCCCCCTTGCGAGAAAACGCCAAGCAACGTGAGAGGAAGAGAGAAAAATACTATAAAAATGGGATTGTGAGTCCCAAAATTATATTAAAAAAAACTATAGGTTTGAATTTAATTATTCAAACCTTTGGGCCAAAAGTTGCAATTTCCTCTAAATTGCATCTCAGTCTCTCATGCTTCCTAATGCACACACCCCCTCCTTTTTATACATGAAGGCACCTCTTCTCTTCCTCATCTAACCAATGTGGGACTTAGAAACAACAACCTTCCACCCCCTTTTTTTTGTTCCTTCTACCTTCTCTTTTTTTTTAACACACACATAAAAAAAATTATTTATGTATTATATCTTAACTAAATATTGCTTATGTGGTTTTAAATTTAAATTTTTAAATTCATAATTAAATACCTAATCATAATATTATTTCTAAAT